TCATTGAAGCAGAAAGAATTTGTCAAGACGTTAAGAGTTTCCCACAATAAAAGACCTGACATTTTAGAATGGTTTCTAGTCTTTAAATGTAAAGACTATTATTGGGTCAAAATGGAAAAAAAAAGAAAAATCAAGCCCCCTATAAAATAAGAGCCTGGCCTTAGATGCTTTTCCATTCTGTAACACATGGAAAAACACAGTCACTAGAAAAAAAAAATATGACCCAAGAATTTTACATCCAGGCAAGCTATAGTTTAATATCAATTGACACATGTTTCCAAACAGAAAAACTACGGGGCTTAGTTCTCATTAAGTCAGCCCTGCAGGTCAGGGGAGGGTGGGGGACAGGGCTGGAGAAGGGAGGATATTATAAACTTTTGAATCAAGAGATGAGTTGAAACCTGAGTTAAAAGGATTAGTGATTAGCATTAAATAAATTTAAATGTAGAACTAATATTAATATTGTGGCAATGGAGAAATACAAGGGAAAAATTCAGAGTTGGGGATTGGGTAGATGGTTACAAAAATGAAAATTTTTCTCATCATTCATAACGTGAGATCAATCACAATAATGCTAAGTGCAGCTGACCCTTGAACAACGTGGTTTGAACTGTGCAGGTCCAAGCTGGATTTTTTTTCTATAAATACAGTACTGTAAATATTTTCCTTATGATTTTCTTAAGCTTACTTTATTATAAGAATATAGTATGTAAGACATATACATGAGAAATATGTATTAATCAACTCTTTATATTATCAGTAAAGCTTCTGGTCAACAGTAGGCTCTTAGTAGGTAAGTAAGATCAAAAGTTATACTTGGTTTTTTGACCAAGTAGGGTGTTGGTGCACCGAATTCCTGCATTGTTGAAGGGTCAACTATATACTGATTTTCTTAATGTGGAGTAAAGAGATGTTATCTAAAGGACATAGACTATAAATCTTCCAAGAAAACAGACTATATAGTGAAATATGTAATAAAAAGTAAAAGGATTAAAAATAAAATTATGACAAGCTATTTGTCATATAAACAAATACAAAATTATAAATTGGATAGACTAATTTATTAGAAGAAAGTGACAGATTGGAGCAAAAAAAGTTAAATCCATTAAGAGAGGCATCTGAAAAGGGACCAGCAAGTAATATTTTAGTAAGTTTATTGTATATTTACTTACTTATTAGTGAATTTTTTAGGTGTGGTGACCATACAGTCTCTTTTGCAAGTACTCCGCTCTACTGACAACAGTGTGAAAGCAGCCATAGATAACATGTAAATGAATGAACAGGACAGTCTTCCAATAAAACTATTTATAAAAACAGGTAGTGGACCACATCTGTCCTGAAAGCCAGTTTGCTGACCCATGATCAGAAGACTTTTAAAAAGGTCGGGGCGCCTGGGCGGTTTAGTCATTCAGCGTCTGCCTTTGCCTCAGGTCATGATCCCAGGGTCCTGGGATCGAGCCCTGCATCGGGCTCTCTGCTTGGCGGGAAGTCTGCTTCTCCCTCTCCCACTCCCCCTGCTTGTGTTCCCTCTCTCGCTGTGTCTCTCTCTGTCAAATAAGTAAAATCTTTAAAAAAAAATTAAAAATTAAAAAAAAAAACAGTAAAAGGTTAATAGCATGATCCCTGGAAACATTCTTTTTCAAGCATATCTATTAGACCCCAAAGAAAGTATCAGTCAAATCCAAAAAGCAGAGATATATGCAGATTATGCTCTTTATTCTTAACTAGAACTAAAGCAAAAGAAAGTATAAAACTTTGCTGTCTGAGAAAATTAAGTAACCCTTGGGCCAAAGGAAAAATTGAAAACTCAAATCCAGATCAACTAGAAAGTACTGATAATCAAAATTCTGTGTTAGTACCTCTGGGATATGACTAAAGCAGTACTCTTGAGGAAAATTCATAAATAAAAATAAAGTACTAAGCAAGAAAAGAATGAGACAGTAAAATAGTTCAGCCCAAGAAGTTACCAAAAAAAAAAAACCCACAAAAAATGGAAAGTAGAAAGAAGATACTAGCAAATATAAAAGCAGAAATTGATGAATTGAGAAAACATACATGGAGGTACTAATAAATCCAAGAGATTTGGCTTTTTTATTGTATTTTTGAAGATGTTGGTAATAATATTAAGCAGATAAACTGTTGAGCCTAATCATGAACAAAGGGAGAACTTAGAAATGTCACCTGTGTATGAACGCACACAGAATATGAGAATGAATCACAGGTATTTAGGAAATTAAATGTAAGTGGACATACTGCTAAATTGTGTGCAGGTAAATTTCAAAACCGGGTGTATAAAAAAGCACTGAGGCCCAGGCAACCTTCTAAGGAACATTATAACTGCAGTGCTTTTTAACTTGTTCCAGAATATAGAAAAAGGGAAAGGTTTTCTAAGTTATTTTTTGAAATATTATTTTGATACCAAATTCTGAAAAAATATTTTAAAAAACCCCTAAGCTCTAGACCATTTTCAAATTACAAAAATCCTAAAAAATTAGCAAATGTAATTTAGCAAAGAGAATAATACACAATGACCAAGTTCTCATTATGAAGTATCAGGAAATACTAAATACATCAGTATTGGGAAATACTAAATGTCTTGTTTTTAACAGTACAAAAGAGAAACATGATTTTCTCTCAAGCTGAAAAAGAATTTGGTAAAATCAACCATCAATTCTGAGTTGTTCTTGTTTTTTTAAGAAACAACTCAATAAAACAGGAATTACTTGATACTTAACAGGAAATAAATTTTATGGTAAAAACTTGCGTTATTCCTACCATTGACTGTAAGCAATTCTCATTTAACAGGGATAACAGTGGTCCCCATTATTATTAACATTATTATAGCAGTCTGGCCAATTCAAATAGGGGAAAAAAAAATGATGTATAAAAATTGGAAAGCAGTCATCAGTCTAGATACATCACATGTGATTGTAGATCCAGAATATGTCTTAAAAGTGAAGGTTGTCCTTCATGTCCCTCCCATTCCTGCCCCCAGTCTTTCTATGACTTATAAAATATTCTCATACAGATAGATATATTGGCTACTTTTTTCACTTACATCCAGTGTATTTTTTTTCCTGAAGTTCATACAGGTTTACTTGAACTAATTTACGAAATATTTAATATTGACCAGGTGGATGAGGAAGCCAGAGAGTATAAAAATGAAACAGCATGGGGCGTCTGGGTGGCTCAGTCGGTTAAGCGTCCGACTCTTGATTTTGGCTCAGGTCATGATCTCAGGGTTGTGAGATCCGAGTCCCATGTCAGGCTCTGTGCTGGGCATGGAGCCCCCCCCCCCCCGCGCTTAAGATTCTCTCCCTCCCCCTCTCTCTCCCTCTCTAAAAAAAAGAAAAAGAAAGCATGGGTTTGCTTTGAAATATTTCCTGTCCTTGAACATCTAGACCTTTAGGGCAGTTGAATTTTTAATACAACTTTTTCTCCTTGTATCCTAATAAAGTAAAAAGGGAAAGCTCTTATTTTTGTGTTTTGTTTTGTAAGATTTTATTTATTTGTCAAAAAGAGCACAAGCAGGGGGAGCGGCAGGCAGATGGATAAGCAGGCTCCCTGTTGAGCAAGGGGCCCAATGCAGGACTCGATTCCAGGACCCTAGGATCATGACCTGAGCCGAAGGCAGACGTTTAACCGACTGAACCACTCAGCCATCCCGAAAGCTCTTATTTTTGACTTACACTGATATCTAATTAGGTTTACTCAGTAATGAATGTGATTTTTATTAACTAAGCTAATACTTCAGTTGTTTTTTCTGCTACAGTGAAGTACTCAAGGACAATAGAAATTCTGTATCACCAACAGGTAGAATGTAAGTAATAAGCATTGACATTTTTTAATAACCTCATTTGTTCGGTGCTTAACATGCACTAGGCAAGGTAGTTGGTGTGTTGCATGCTTTGTATCACTTGATCCTTAGAGCAGCCTGATGATAACATAGCTACTATTATTAGCCCCATTTTACAGATGATAAAACTGAGGCTGTATTATTTATTCAATGTAACACTAAGTGAGAGATGGCAAACGTGTCTTCTGACTCCTTTAAGCAGATATGTGTCTTGACATTTATGGGTGTAAGGAATTTCATACCCAGTTTTGTAAAGAAGAGCGTATTCTGGAGTTTTTCTGTAGTTAGTATCCAAGCTATTCCATCAGCCCATCTGGATGAGTTGTAGATTCTGGAGAAAGTGGGTTAAACCACAGGGTCCCACTACACCCTGACTTGACAAATCTAGCTTTCACTGTAGACTGTCTGATGTTACAATATGGAAATGTTACTGCTGGCCATTCTGTGTGCAGAGAAGTAGGGGGTGTTACGTGGTTTCTTCCTTCCATTTGTTACTAAAACTCCAAACATTTCTTAAGTCCTGATTCTTACCCTATTTAGTGTAATTGGCTGCGGCATGTGGTATATAGCCGTGCCCTGGATGGTGGAGGTGTAGTTAGGTGACTAGTCTTTGGGCTCAAGAAGTTTACACTTTGGGTGGGATAAATGTGGGGAAATAATTACAGGGAAAATGACTTCTAGAACAGGAATTTGCTCCCCCTTTTGTATTTCATAGAAACATTTGTTGCAAATGGCCAAATATTTTGTCAACATATCAAAATGTCAAATTTCTGAGGGACGTTTTAAGTCTATAGGTTCATTCCATTGGTATTGTGAAGAGATTTGCGTTCTGAAAATAGATGTAGCATGCAACCACCAGTAATGAAATACAAAGACCTGCCGCCTTACATTTGTTTGAAAGAGCCCCGCTGCTTTGAGGTACTTAAAAGAACTTTCCCAGAGTAAAAGTTACTTCATTCAATTTGGAGGGGGGAGGTAACTTGGTATTTTATAATGTCTCTTACTATTTTAATTTCATATTGGGATGATGGATTACAAAGGAGAATCCATCCTGTTAGGAAGGGTGATATCCTAGTGTTTGACTTCCCAGGTAAGCAAGCTTTTCTCGTTTCTATTTGTTAACTAGGCCTTTTGATATTTTTGTAGACAATCTGCTTCATCTTGATTCTGCAGCATTCCAAACTGTGGTATCCTTGGGGTTCTCTTAACATTGCAATGGTGCAGAAGATTTAAAATCAGGTATGGCTGTGGGGCCAGAAGTCCCTCAGTGAAATTCTCAACTTAAATCTGCCTTATACTCTCTGATTTATCATTTGGGTTTCTTTTTTTGTGGTGGTCTTTTAGCTGATGTTCACAAGGAATAGAGTCACGTGATGTATGAAGGGAAACATATACACTTCTCTGAGGTTGACAATAAGCCCTTGTGCTCATATAGCCCCAAACTGTGCAAGCAGCGGCGACTCAACGGGTACGCTTTCTGTATCAGACACGTTCTGGAGGACAAGACTGCCCCCTTCAAGCAATGTGAATATGTGGCCAAGTATAACAGCCAACGCTGCACCAACCCCATCCCCAAATCAGAGGATCGTAGGTAAGAGCTAATTACGGGAATCCATCTTTGATTTCATTCGTAGGCCTGGAATTTTCTTTTTCTTTTTTTAAGTGTGGTGAATTTAAGCATTGAGTTCTGGGATAATCTAAGTAAACCTTGGAATCTTCTAAAGACAAGAGATGGCAGTTTTTAGAAAATGGAGACGTGGGGAATTATTTGAAAAGTGTGTTTGGTTTTTTGGTTTTTTTTAATTGGTTTAATAGACTTTAAAAGAAATTTTTCCTCAAAATCGTTGCTTGTGTTTGGTTTGCAGTCTTTTATAAAGTAGTTCCTGATTATGATAGAAATCTGCTTAAACAACAGAAATTATAGGAACTATTTAGGTGGTGTGATTAATGGTAATGATTTTGGAATTTTTTAATCTGTGCTTGAAAGGTAGCAAAGGGTATGTACTTAATGAAAATGAATTATTCAAAAGAATGATTACTTCAATTATTGAGAAGATGTACTTTCTCTCAGACTTCTAAGCAGTGTTTGGCATTGTTCTGTAATCTTGCCTTTTGGTTAAAAGAGTTCCATATAAAGTATGTTTAACATAATTGAGAAACGGTATGTTTACAGTAAGAGTAGGCTTTATCACTAGGATTATGAATTTTTACTTGGCTGAATTAAAAAACATGGAGGTGTTTTTAGAGAAAGAGTCTTATGATAGTTATTCATCTTTCATAGTCTCAGGAAAATTCAAACTATTTCATATATAATCTCTTTTTCATTTCTTTTTCTTCGGTTCTCCAGAAACCATGTGGGCATTGTCGGATATTACAGAGAGATGCATAATTATTCCCCAAAAGTTTCAAATACTGTTATCTTTAGGTAGAAAATGTGAACTTTTTACTTTAATCTTTAAAATATGTATATACAGCCTTCATCCTTGTACCTGTGCCTAAACAGATGTCACCTGCATAAATTGGTTGAAAAGATGTCATGTTTTGTGTATGTCATGGTGAGCAATTTTACATTTTTATGGTGAAATAAGTAATTTGTGTTGATAGAGCTCCCACCAAAATGAGCATAGCATCATGTGGTGATTTGGGAATAGTTCCTTGGAATTTCCAATGCGCACTTAAAGCTTCACATTACAATACCTGAAAGAAGCAGCTGCTGAGTGAGGCAAGGAATAAAATTTTAATCTCAGTTGAGAAAGGGACCACTCACTGTACCTGACTAAAAATATCTGTCCAGCTTCTAGCAGACTTACCATGCCTGTTTCTTAACCCTGGCCTTTTTTAACTTGAAGAATTGATGAACTTGGGTTCATTTTTTTACTCCAAGCTCCACTATAAACACATCTATAATTTTGTCCTTTTTTTTGACGTTCATTTATTTTATTTTTAAAGATTTTATTTATTCATTTGAGACACAGAGATACAGAGAGAGAGAGCATGAGCAGGGGGAGAGGCAGAGGGAGAGGGAGAAGCAGGCTCCCTGCTGAGCCAGGAGCCAGACGTGGGGCTCGATCCCAGCCTGGGATCACGACCTGAGCTAAAGGCAGACGGTTAACCATCTGAGCCACCCAGGCGCCCTAAAGTTTATTTAAGTAATCTCTACACCCAACATGGGGCTCAAATTCATGACCCTGAGATCAACAGTCGCATGCTCCTCCGTCTGAGCCAGCCAGGCACCCCTGTAATTTTGTCTTAAATTCATTTTACCACATTTGCAATTGTCCACCTTGGATTTTTTTTTTTCCATTTCAGCGGAAGCAAGTACTATGTTAATAGCTAGCAGCGAGAAGTAAAACAAGAGTTGCTCTGCGTTTCTCCAGAATATTAATTCTCTGAATCATAGGTCTTCACCTTGATATTCAAAGTAGTTTCCTCTTTTTAGAACAAGAAAAGAAGGGGAAGGACTTGTGTGGCTATATCAAAAGAAACTACGCTTAAGTACTAAGTTACATAAATCTCTTCAAATTGGTTCAAACCAATGCAAATGGTATTAATGTTTTTATTATTTGTAGGGTTGCTTGGAGATAGATTAAAGTAGACATCAGTAGGAGATAATATTCTTCTGTTGCCTCAAGAAATCCAGGTTGAATTGATATAAGGTCTAACGTGTATATAAATATTGATAGTTAATAACTACACTATATGACATAATGTAGAAAAGATTGATACTCTTTTGAAAATAAGCTTTCATTATTGTTAATGCAGTTATTCTTTGGACACTTAGGAATTTGAGATGGTTTTAGGTATTATAGAAAACAAACTCCCAATGACTTTTAATTGATAAAATTATCTGATTGGTGGTCAGCTAAAGGAAGCTTCTTAGTATCTGGTGTCTAACTTCTGGTATCTATTAAAAATGCTAACTTAAGGGATTCTACCTCTTTGAAATAGAATAGTGTTATGTTCAGTAGGAGTACTGGTATAATTAAAAAGTAAAGTTCATTTTCTAATGTACTTGTACAGTGGGAGGCTAAGGCTTATTACTATAGCCTTGGTTTCTCAGAGATAAGTGGTTTTATTAAATTGGTTATTTTATATAATATTTTAAATTTGTTTGCTCTAATTTTATATATTTTTTAGTAGTGATTTGCCAAGAAGTTTTTTGTTTCCTATATGTTTACCATTTTCCTAGACAGCTTAATTAAGATATAATTCACATCTGATACAGTTCTCTCATTTGAAGTGTACAATTCTGTATTTTTTAGTACAACTTTCATCACAGTTTAATTTACAACATTTTCGTCCCTTCAAAAGAACCCATTAGCAGTCACTCCCCTATATAGTTATTCAATTCATATTTGCATACTTCTTTTAAACACTGATCATAATGAAGTAAGCTGTTGTAATTCTAGCTATGAAAATTCTTCCCTTCTAGAAGAGGAAGTGTTTTACAAGTTCAGACTCTGTGTGGTAGTGCTGACAGAGTAGCTGGAGCAGGAGTTGAGGGTGAGGTTGAAGGAGGGCTGGACGTGCAGATTAGCCTCTGCCCTGTTACGTGAGGTGGCACGGGGCAGGCTCAGTTACCTGTTCAGGCTGCCCATGTGTAATGAGCAGAAAAATTTCATTTCCAAATTTAAAAACTATCCCACCTCATTTCTACCCTACTAATCCTTTTGTTAATTTAAAAATGACTTGAAAACAACAACAAAAATCATGCAGTTATCCCTGAAACTTTTTCCATTTTGGCCACAGCTTTATAAATCTATTCTGTTTAAGGTCTGGGTGAGACCTAACCTAAACCTGTTAGGTGTGTATGTGCAAGTGTGTGCACACACACACACGGTGTAGATTCTCTTTACTGTCCAGAAAGCTTTTTCTTAATAGTCCTATTAAAATGGAGGCGTGTCTTTGAGAGATTTATTTCTAAGACAAACCAACAAAACCATGTCTCTTGATGATTTGGTGAATCTGTATTTTTAACAGTTATTTAAAAATTTGTCTGATACGGCCCAGTGAGTTTCAAGATTGACATTAATTACTTTATTGCCATTTTTACCTAAACTGTGTTCTCCACAAGTTCGCTACAATAAAAATAGATGCCCTTTTCAAGTAAGTTTGGGAAACCCTGCCAGATGGGTACATTGCCACCTTGAAGCGCAATGCACGTTATCATACAAAATGCTTTGAGAAGTTGTTCAGCAGAAACAAACAACAAAATCATTGTCTAATTCTGTTGAAGCCAGCATTTTTCAAATTTATTTAAGCATGGAATACTCTTTTTTATGGCATACTTGCTAACCTTCTGAACTGCATGAGGAATCCCAGTCTGGGAAACACTACTTTACTACCGGTTAAAAGCCTCTCTAGGTTTTCAGTGTGGTTTCTGGGAACAACATGTATTCTTCTTTCTTAACTGAGTAGAAGGATGCTGTCCTTTTTAGTATTTTTTAAAATACCATTTACATTACAAAAGTAACTCATTGCTGAAGACTATGGAGAGTCTCCTGAGCTTAGATTCTTCGTTTGAGTCTCAGTTCTATCAGTTTCCGGGGGGGGGGGGGGGGTTGGGGCAAGTTATTTAATTTTTATCAAGTTTAGCTTCCTCATCTGTATAAAGGGCATTATTTTAGTACCTACTGCAGGTATAAACGTACTTCTCTGGCTGTTGAACTCATTTCATCTATAATCCCTCTAACTATTAGTTTTATTATTTTACTTCTCCTTCCCTTCTGTATTCTTTATTTCTCTCTCTCAATCTGTGTGTGTCTGTGTGTGTAGAATACACTGTAGACACTTGGTATTTTTAGGGATTATGTCATAAGATCTTTGTGAATCTACAAATACTTGAATGACATTGGAATATATATAGATATATAGATACGATTTTTTTTCTTCTCCATAACAGAGTTTTTAGAGATCCTTTAGACTTGATGAGTTCTTTTTGTGCTGTGAATACAAAATAACAAAGCAGAGTGAGAAGCCATAGCTGGATGGTCATGCAGGGCCACTCAGTGTTGGAATGACTCGCTTCTGTCTGGCAGCCTCCGCACACACACAACTCACCTATTTGCTTCAGGAAAATTGCAGACTTTGAGGCGTGCTTGAGAGTAGTAGAAGTTGTTTATGTTAAATCCATGAATGCCAAGAGTTCCTATAGTCATGCATTTTTAATATATTAGGTAGGATTCACATTTTATACTATGTAGTTTTATATTCAACTTCTCTTAGTGTATATCATAATCATTTCCCCGTGTGTGTTTTTTAAAGGTACTGCAACAGCCACTTGCAGGTACTTGGCTTTATCCCGAAAAAAGAGAGGAAGAAAAAGAATGATCCTATAGATGAGGTGAAGGTCAGGCACCAGATGGATACCATGGCCTTTAGCCTGACGGTGCCCCCGTTGGCCTTGAAGATGCCCAACGGGCTGGATGGAATGTCCCTCTCTCCACCTGGGGCTAGGGTCCCTCTCCACTACCTGGAAACCGAGTTGGAAGACCCATTCGCTTTCAACGAGGAAGATGATGACCTAAAGAAAGGGGCAACTGTGAGAAAGAAGTTGCAGAGCAAGTTGGCCCAGAATCGGCAGCGCCAGAGAGAGACGGAGATTTTAAAAGTCCGACAAGAGCACTTTAGTCCCCCTCCTGCGCCTTCACAGCAGCAGGCCCCGCCGCAGCTCTCCCACCTGTCACCTTTAGCCTCGTCCTTGAAACCTCCAGCACCACCGCCACCGCAGGGTGTAGTCTGCAAGTCCCCTCCACCTCCGAGCACCAGCCTACCAATGCAGGGAGTGGCCCCCACCACACACACTATAGCACAAGCGAGGCAGTTGCCCCACAAGAGGCCGCTGCCCCTCCTGCCATCCAGTAGGGCTCCCGCCACGGACCCGCCCAGGACTGACCGGGTCCTCATGAAAGCCACAGCCTTCTCTCCACACTTCTCCTGTATAAGTCGCCTGCACAGACTGGTGAAACTGTGCGCCCAGAAACATCAGTTGGACACTGATCTGTTTCCCCATTTAGGTGAGTTCTCTCATTTCCCAGACTGTAACACAGCGTGCCCTTGCAGGGGAGGCTCAGTGTTCAGACCCACCGCATCTGTGATGCTGGTGGCGGGGCCCTGGGACCCGGGCGGTTCAGTGCAAACTGTGTGTTTAGGGGGGCCTTCGTCAAGGAAATAGGCTAGTGGAGGGGATGATCCTTGGTAGACAGGATACAGAAGTAGGAGTCGGCAAATCTGGAATGGCAGTCACAGTTTCTAGTTTGTGGTAGCAACAGCGGTATCGAAAGGCAGTTGTGTTGGGTTCTCTGCCCCTGTGAGCTCAGCACCTGTGTCTGATGAAGTTTTCGACATGTCTTATCGTAGGACTTTGGAATAATGATAGCATTGTTAATATCTGCTGACAGTTAAAAGAAAAAAAGCAAAAAACCTTGTAAAAAAAAATTCCCATAGCGATGCCTGTTCATGATTTAAAAGTGAAAAACTACGGGTAAAACTTTAATGTAGTGAAATGTCTTTCCTTCATTGCTTCTGAATTTTCTTGCTCAAGAAGATCTCTCTGATCCCAAGTTCATACAGGTATTTTATATATTGTTGATAATTCGATTGTTCTGTGTTTGATTATTTAAACCTTTAATTCATTTGGAATATATTCTTAAATATGGTGTGAGCTGTGATTCTAACTTGAGGAAAAATCATTTGAATGATGTGATAGTAATAGAAAAATAGGAAAAGGATGGGACTAGAGGAAGAAGAAATACAAATGGTTAGTAAACCAATGAAAACCTCAGTCCCCATAGCAGGTGTGGAAATGCAAATCAAAATAACAATTTCTATCAGATTGGCAAAAATTATATCCACTGTTGATGAGGCTTCTACATTGCTGGTGAATAATGTGACAGTATTTACAAATTAAGAGTGTATATATAGCCAGCACACTCACTTTTGGGACTCTATTCCTATGGGTGAAAAAAATATCAGAATGTTAGGATATGTGTTCAAGGATGTTTATTGCAGCGTTGCTTGCAGTATTAAAAATCCTCAAACAGGGGCGCCTGAGTGACGCAGTCGGTTAAGCCACTGCCTTGGGCTCAGGTCATGACCCTGGAGTCCCGGGATCGAGTCCCGCATCGGGCTCCCTGCTCGGCGAGGAGCCTGCTTCTCCCTCTGACCCTCCCCCGCCATGTACTCTCTCTCTCTCTCTCATTCTCACTCTCTCAAATAAATAAATCTTTAAAAGAAAAAAAAATCCTCAAACAACCTTTATAACTAGATGTGCCTATTTTATATTAGCAAGTAGAAAAAAACCAGGGGTATTGCATTACCCCATTTGTAAAAATAAAGTAAATAAACAAGAGGCATCAATGTATCTGTTGATTAAGCGTTTGGACAGATAGATGTTTGCCTATTGAGGTATAAGCATGGGTCTTTAATGTGTGAATGGTTATATACTACCATGCTGTTAACACTGTCAAGGGGAGGACAGAATTGGATAGGATGTGTTTTTACGGAGATGGGAATGGCATCTCTTCTTATATTAGAGTTTTATATTGTTTCACCTGTTACTAAGCCATGTATGACTTTTGGTAATTAAAACAACTAATAAAACTTAAAGAAAAGATGTATAAAAAAAATAAATTAAAACACCCAAACCTTATTAATACCCATTTGTTAATGCCTTGGTATATTTCAGATCTGTAAAATTGGGTTCCTGCTGTACATACAGTTTTATAACCTGTTTTAAAATTTTTCACAATGTACCATGAAGGTAGTAATTTTTCATATACCATATAATTTGTCACAGCTGAATTCTTTCTCTAATTTAGGTTGTTTCCAGTTTATATTATTATAAAGTGTCGCTGTATATCCTCATAGTAAAATAATTACTGTCACAACTCTAATTTTTCCTTCAGATTCCTAGAAGCAGAATTGCTGATTCCAAGCTTTTGCATTTTTTTTAAAAGCTTTTTGATACATGTTGTCAAATTTTCCTTAAGAACTATTTTGTTACATTACCCTTCTTTCAGCAGGGTATGAGATGACAGTTTCTCTCCATCTTGACAGTACTGGATATTGGTTATTATTGTGCCTTCGCAAATTTGATGGAAAATTTGTTTTAATTTGCATAACTTAGATCACTGTTTCTCAAATTTTAGGCCTTAGAATCCCTTTACACCTAAAAATGATTGAGGACACTGTAAAGCCTTTATGTATGTGAGTCACATTTGTTGATATTTACTGAATTAGAAGTTAAAACTGAGAAATAGAAATTTTTAAAATGTTAATGCATTTTTAAAGATAACACCACATGTTAACATGTTCTTTTTATGAAATAGCTATGTTTTCCCAAAAGAAAAGAAATATAATGAGAAGAGCAGCATTATTTTACATTGTTTTATACATCTTAATGTGTGGTTTGCTGGAAGACAGATTCTCCTGTCTGCTTCTGCATTCAGTCATGATATGTGGTTTTGATTAATATGTGAAAATATGGCTTACACGTTTAGAGTTGGAAAAGGGAAGAATATTTTACTAGCTTTTTAAAAATAATTGTGGATATTCTTATTTGATCCTATACCAAAAATTGACAAATGGTAGTTTCTTAAAGATTAGTTGCAGTGTGAAACCTGAAACCATATCAAGGAATTTTGCAAACCATTACATTAAAATCCATTGATCTGCTTTGCACTTTGAAGGGATCTTTTTACCCATGCGTGATTTTGTAACATCTATATTGGTCGTTTGGAAAATATTGGTTTACCTAGTTAAACATATATCCCAAATGTGGACATATTTCATTATACAGAATTTAAAAATAATACTCTCGTGGGATGCCGGGGTGGCTCAATCAGTTAAACATCCAACTCTTGATCTCATCTTAAGTCTTGATCCTAGGGTCGTGAGCTCAAGCCCTGCGTTGGGCTCCACACTAGGTGTCCAGCCTACTTCAAAACAAAACAAAATCACATTCTTTAATATTACCACCAATCCCGTCAGAAAAGTCTGTTAGAAAGTTGTCATAGACTCAGTGATGACTTCAAGTTTAAAAAAAAAAAATCAAGCTTTTAAGGGAAAATCTGAATTTCATTGTTGGCAACAAGTCCTGTCCATTGTTTTCCTTGAGGTGACAGTTTTCACTGTGTTCATTTTAGAAAAAAATGACTGTCAGATATCCAAGTCTTAGTAACCATAGTTTGTTGGTCACTCCTTCAAATAAAAATGGTGTCGAGTGAAAAAAAAAAAAACAGCTCGTTGAGGTCACAGTTAACACCAGGTGCTGCACGGGCTTTTCCTCAAGACAACCACCATACGTGTACGGTGTGCAGCACAGGGGCTTTCTGACTCCATGTGGAGTCACAGACACTGGTGTGAAGACGCGTAGTCAAGAACTGAGATTTAATAAACAGTCTTTAATATACCTATACCGGGCTTTGTCACAGATATTCTTTTTTTTTTTTTTTAAGATTTTATTTTGATAAAATCTTCATTTGTCGGAGAGAGGGAAGGAGTGTGCGCGCACAAGCAGGGGCAAGCGGCAGGCAGAGGGAGAAGCAGGCTCCCCACCGAAGCACGGGACTCGATCCCGGGATCCTGGGATCGGGACCCGAGCCGACGTCAGACGCTTAACTCTTAAGCCACCCAGGCGCCCCAGGGATATTCTTAAAACTGTTATTTATTTATTTATTTAACTGCACATTGTGGTGTGAAACATAGGATGACTGCTCGTAGAGTTTGGTCCCACCACCCTGATTGATGCTGAGGCGCCAGCAGATTGACCCACCGTGGTTTGTTTTTGTTTTTTATCATCAGTGCAAATGCCAACACGGTGAAAAAAGCAAATAATGTCTTCTTATTTTGAAGATAGTGTTGACCTAAGGAACTCCCTAAGGAGGGTTTCAGGGACCCCCGGGGATCTATGGACCATTCTTTAAGTGAGAACTGCTGTTTTGAGATAGTAATTGTAGCTTTGAGTATTTGTTCATATGCTTTTTGGACGTTTGTATTTCTTACTTATTTTACGTTTTGAGTTTTTTCACTCATTTTTGTTGAAGGGCTTCTTTTTTTTATTGATTTGGTATGATCTTTTTATACATATTTCATGTTTGTTGCAAAGCCTCTCCCATTTGTTAGTTGCTTTTAAATATCTATGATATAATTATTTTGGAATTTAGGAGTTAAAATTGTTGATGTGTTCTATTTTTTTAGAATTTTTTTCCTTTTGAATCAGACTTTTTTTGTTTTGCTTTATTTTGTTTCTTACTTGTTTGGGCTCTAAGAGTATGTAATATATTCACCCATATTTTCTTTTGGTCCTTTCATTGTTTGATTTATTTACCTTGTAGTCCTCTATTTGGAATTCATTAGGTATTAGTTTCTTTTTTTTTTTTTTAAGATTTTATTTATTTATTTGAGAGAGAGAATGAGAGAGAGAGCACATGAGGGGGGGAGGGTCAGAGGGAGAAGCAGACTCCCTGCCGAGCAGGGAGCCCGATATGGGACTCGATCCAGGGACTCCAGGATCATGACCTGAGCCGAAGGCAGTCGCTTAACCAACTGAGCCACCCAGGCGCCCTAGGTATTAGTTTCGAGGCAAAATCTAACTTTATTTCTTCCCAAATGTTTGCCTCTTACTCCACAATGTACCTGCGTTATCTTCTAAATATTTATTTATACTTTTGTGTATTTATGGATGCTGGTAATTTTTTTAGCTTTTGAAACAAACTATGTTGTGTTAGAGGCTGGTTTTTTTGTCATTTGGCACAGAATGAGAATTTACAGAAAAAGTATTGTCTTTTTTTTTTAACGAGTTTTTATTTATTCATTTGAGAGAGAGGGAGAGAGCGAGTAAGAGCACAAGCAGGGCGGAAGGTTAGGGGGAGAGGGAGAAGCAGGCTCCCCGCTGAGCAGGGTGCCCCATGCAGGGCTCCATCACAGGACCCCATCCCAGGACCCTGGGATCATGACCTGAGTCGAAGGCAGACACTTAACCAACTAAATGACCCATGCACCCCCCTCCCTTTTATTTTTATTTATTTTATTTTTTTATTTTTTTATTTTTTTTAAATCAAGCATATTAGGGTCCTAGGTTTTCAAAACAAAGGTTACTTTGGAGAAGCCAGAAATTGTAATGCACTGTTAGGACCAAGTATAGTCTGCATTCATATCAGCAAAGAATAAGAAAAATGCAATCTTGTAATCAGCTTTTACAGTCTCGTCTGGCCTGGTTATCTCAGTTAGTTATATTAAAACTAGTGATAATGAAGCCAAGATCAAAGGTTTGCTTTATTGGACAGTTAATTTCACAAGAGAAACACCTCCATCTTAGTTTTTACAACTTAGATCTTGACTTTTTCAGAGAAGATATAGGTGACTTAGTAGAAATTATTATGAATTATACAAAAACAATAAAAGGTAATTCATGTCCTCACTTTGAAGATACCTTAAGTGTCACTTTGTGTTTGAAAGACCTCGCCTTTCAGTATCCTATCCTGAAGCTAATGCTATTGTGATTACTTGTTTTTTACTTTTTTTAATCACTAATTATTTTAACTTTTTTTTTTTTTTAAGTAACTTACTTTTTAAGGTGACCTAACATTTGGATAGTCATCTTGGAACTAAATTTGAGGTTTCTTTATGCCAGTGGTAATGTGTTACTTAATTTTAAGCATTTATAATTTGCATTTCGATTAACCTTTTCTTAATTTCCCTATTTGGCACATGTAAACTTACTTAAATTATAGAAGCAACCTCTGAGGTCCTTTCTAACATAACTGTCTAATGAAGATGGTCTTCTGATTTTTGAGGGTCTCAAGAAGGAAGACCTAATACTAGTTATTAAGGTATCTAATTCAAGTCTCATAGTGGTATGAGTATATTTAAAGTTATGCATGTTAGACTGTGCAACATCAGTATTTATCGAGACCTTTTCAAGATACAAAACTTCTAAAAAGGTAAAACCTTTATGTTGGAAGCTAATAATTATCCAATCATTAAAATTAGTAGCGTTTAACAAAATAAGTAAGCATTGTTCATCCTCTATTTCTCTATTGTCCCCTCTAAACTTGTTTTTCAGAATGCCACAGAATGTGGCAGCTATTGTTTAAAAGAATTAAAAGAAAGCCCAAGCTGCATTAGAAATAGAATATTGCCCTCTTACCCTTTCCTCTTCCTGCAGAGAGTTAAGAGCCAGGGCAGGGCTCTGCCTGGTGGATGGAGTCCTTTTCCTCTGGAGGGGTTGGGAAAGGGGATGAAGTGTCTGCCTTTGACAGTTTATCCTAGGGCCCTTCTTTCTGGAAGTGTAGAGTGAATCCACCAGTGCATTTTGACTTCTTTCTTACCTGAACATACATTAGCCTTGTTTTATGTTTTTCTGACGTTATGTATGATGTTTAATGTATGATGTTTTGGTGGGGGGAAGGACTGGAACTCTCTGCTTATGTTTCTGCTCCATTTGTGAAGTGTGACGAAGAAGTTCATCCTTGGAATATAGCTTTTTTTTGTTACAGTGTCATTATTTTAAACCTGAGTGTATGTCATACATCATTATTAATACTTTTGTCGGAATAGAGAGGCATCTATTCATACAGTGATAGTATGTGCTGTAGGTTTTGGGTTATGCATTTTTGGTAGCTTTTTTTCTAAATTTTAAATAAAACATTTTTTTAACTTGCTATATCTTCTCACATGTCCCAGGTTTGGACTGGTCCGAAGAGAGCGGGGAGGAGCTAGAGGACTCAGAGCAGGCCTCGCCATACCAGGTGGCATGGTCCATCCGAGACACCCTCAGATATGAAAGACACACGTAAGTCTTCCTTTTTGTTTTGATTCTTCAGTTACCCCTGTAATGGCCTGATGTTTCACTCTATATGCTAATGTTCTGTTATCTCATTGGATCTAGTTTTATTGTAATGGAGGTAAAAGAGATTCCACTTGGGAGGAAATGTACTATATAAAGCTTTTCAGTTTTCTTGGTAAATTTGTTTCTGTACCTTTCCCATTTATCACTGAAGGAACCAATTGGAATAGAATTCAGAATGAAAAGGAACCTTCGAGATTACCTAGTCCCATCCCCTCTTTTTACAGAAGAGGAGACCAAGGCCCAGGCAGGCTAAGGAACTGGCCTGAGGTCCCAGGGCTTCTCAGAGTCCTGCTGTCTGACTTCTGGATCCTCTTTGGCCTGATCCCTACAGTAGCTGGGAACAGCTTATTTCAGCTCTGTCTTCTACAAGATTGATCCATTTTTAATCTTCCTTAAGCACTGAGTATTTCTAATGTGCTAAAATGGTTTTCAAGATAATCTCATTAGAGGTTCTTGGTATCTGCCTTATCAGAAAGCTGTAGATTGATTAATGCACAGGACAGTGGGAAAGCTCTTTCTGTTTCAGGGGACTGCTTTAGGGATTCACTTAGTACAGTGGGGCCATTCCGAGATAGATCCCTGTCTGTGGAGCCAAAAGATGGCTCTCAGACTCAGCTAACTTTTTTCTTTTTTTTAAGTATTGTGGTTTGAATAGATGTTTGACAAAATAGAGGGGAGACCAGCTATCTGCCCCAGGCTGACTCCTAGACTCTCACAGTATCATTGTATGGACATATATTCTCTAGAACCTGGTTTTTTGGTTTATAGGCTTAAAATATGATTTGTTAGTACACCCAGAGGTGATTAGGCTCAGGGAACTGATTCTCTAGAGACTAATGTATAAACCAAAATGCCAGTTTAAAGTGAGAAATAATCATTAAATAGTACAAATGTTCACTAAGCAAAACTACATGGGGAGCTTATTTGGGCCTGGAAGGAGAGTTAGTTGGATTTATTAATGGCCAGTTGTCCTGGCCTCCCCTATCTCCTAGATAGGATTGGAGAATGCTGTAGTTTTCTTCTCTCTCCAAGGTTCCGTTTTATGTATCATTCAAGACTGCTTCCTTACCATTAGCATATTCTTTTCTTCAGATAAAGTACAGTTGAACTTAACACTCTGACAGGAATGGATAGTATCAGTCATGCTTTCTCAGGTGGATGTTCATGTCAGCTTAACTTGATTTGGGATATTTTGAGGTAATTTTACAAATTGCTCTAAATGAGGTAGCGTAAGTAAATGCTTACAATACCTGGTACCTGGGCAATGAATGATAAATGATAGTGAAGATTCCTGTTAGAATTCTCAGATTCTTTTGGAAGAAAAACTGGTAGTAGTCTGATCATCATTCTGTGCTGCCCGTCCACCTGCTTTCCCGCAAACCTGCTTTTCATGAGTTTTCTTGCTAAACCAGGATTATGCTTGAAGAAATTTTAGGGAGAAAGTTTGGCCTTTTTTTTTTTTTTTAAGTAAGCTTTATGCCCTGCAAGGGACTTGAATTCACGACTCAGATCAAGAGTCACATGTTCTACTGACTGAGCCACCCAGGTACCCCTGGCCTTGTTTTGGGAAAGATTTCTTGGTTACTTAGTTTAGCTGTACATGCATGTGCTGAAGGAGATCTCGCAGGCTCTTACTTATATCTCAAGAGCAGAAATAAGTTGGTATCTTAAATGTATTATTTTTTTTTAAGATTTTATTTATTTATTCATGAGAGACAGAGAGGCAGAGGGAAAAGCAGGCTCCCCATGGAGCAGGGAGCCAGATGCAGGGCTTGATCCCAGGACCCCGGGACCACGACCCAAGCCAAAGGCAGATGCCCAACCTACTGAGTCACCCAGGCGCCCCTTAAATGTATTGTTAACAGTAATTACTCCTAGTAACTCCTTTTCATGTTCTTTCTTTTTTTTTTTTTTTAAGATTTTATTTATTTATTTGACAGAGAGAGACATAGAGAGGGAACACAAGCAGGGGGAGCGGGAGCGGGAGAGGGAGAAGCAGGCTTCCCAAGGAGCAGGGAGCCAGATGCGGGGCTCGATCCCAGGACCCTGGGATCATGACCGGAGCCGAAGGCAGACGCCTAACAACTGAGCCACCCAGGCACCCCCCCCTTTTCATATTCCTAATTGTGTCTTTGATAGAGAACATTTCTTGATTTTTATTAAAGATTTATTTATTTTTATTTTTTATTTATTTTTTTTAAGATTTTATTTACTTGAGAGGAGAGAGAGAGAGCGTGTGCAAGCATGAACGCTGGGGAGGGACAGAGGCAGAGGGAGAAGCAGGCTCCTGGCTGACCAGGGAGCCCAATGCAGGACTCGATTCCAGGCCCCTGGGATCATGACCTGAGCCAAAGGCAGACACTTAACCAACTGAGCCACTCAGGAACCCAGATTTATTTATTTTAATTTATTTGTTTGTTTGTTTGTTTATTTATAAAGATTTTATTTATCTGACAGAGAGAGACACAGTGAGAGAGGGAACACAGGGGGAGTGGGAGAGGGAGAAGCAGGCTTCCTGCTGAGCAGGGAGCCGGATGCGGGGCTCGATCCCAGGATCCCGGGATCATGACCTGAGCTGAAGGCAGACGCTTAATGACTGAGCCACCTAGGCGCCCTATTTATTTTTAGAGAGAGAGCGCGCACGAGAGTGAGTGGGGGCAGGGACAGGGGAGAGAATCTTAGAGCAGATTCCACGCTCAGCCTGATGCAGGGCTCCATCCCATGACCCATGAGATCATGACCTGAACCAAAACCAGGAGTCAGACGCTTAACCAACTGAGCCACCCAGGCACCCCCCAGTTCTTAATTTTATTGTATGTGTGTGTATATATATGTATTTGTTTATTTTTTAAGATTTTATTCATTTGACAGAGAGAGATAGCTAGAGCAGGAACACAAGCAGGAGGAGCGGGAGAGGGAGAAGCAGGCTTCCGCCTGGGCAGGGAGCCCGATGCGGGGCCCGATCCCAGGACCCTGGGACCATGACCTGAGCTGAAGGCAGACACTTAACTGACTGAGCCACCCAGGCGCCCCCCAGTTCTTAATTTTAATGAGTACAATTTATTGCTCTTTTTCTTTATGGGTAATGTATTTGTGACCCATTTAAGAAATCATTACCCCACAGCTTCACAGTCATGAAGCTACTCTCTAATCCTATATTCTAGGAGCTTTATTGTTTTCCTGACAGTCTTTGTGGAAATTTATTTTTGTATAATTTGTATATAATGTGAGGTGCAGTGTTAAGGATCATTTTTTTCTGTGTCGATCTTCTATTTAACCAACACTATTGAAAACACTGTTGATCTTGCATTGGAACCCTTGGCATGTATGTGTATGTCTCTTTGTTCATTTTCTGTTCTTTTTCATTGGTCTTTTTAAAGAACAAGCTTTTAGTTTCATTGATTCTCTTTTAGCTTTATTTCATTGTTTTCTGTTCTTATCTCTATTATTTCCTTCTGTTATGTTCTTCTATTCTTTCCTTCTTTGTTTTGGATACATTTGTTTGTCTTTTTCAGGTTTTTAAGGTGACACCTTAAACCTTGTTTTCTGACATAGACACTTGATGCTATACATTTCCCTCTATGTATGTTATAATCCCTGTAATACATTGCTATTGTTTATTTATTTATTTATTTATTTGAGAGAGAGAATGAGAGAGAGCACGAGAGGGAAGAGGGTCAGAGGGAGAAGCAGACTCCCCGCCGAGCAGGGAGCCCGACGCAGGACTCGATCCCGGGACTCCAGGATCATGACCTGAGCCGAAGGCAGCCGCCTAACCAACTGAGCCACCCAGGCGCCCTACACTGCTATTGTTTAAGCAGTTATCTTTTAAGGCGATTTAAAAGAAAAATAATCTTTTGTATTTACCCACATGATTTCTAGGGTTTTTTTCTTTGAATAGTTCCATATTTCCATCCGATGTTATTTTCTTTCTGTATGAATGGTTCACTTTAACATTTCTTATAGTGCTGCTCTTCCGGTGATGAATTCTTTTAGCTTTTATGTCTGAAAAATTTTATCGAGGTATAATTGACTATGCCTTTTTGGCTTGCGGGGGGAGGAGTGCAGAGGCAGAGGGAGCCTGGTGTGGAGACTCGATCTCACAACCCTGAGATTATGACCTGAGCTGAAATCAACGGTTGGACGCTTAACTGACTGAGCCACCCAGGCACCCCATGCCTTTTTTTTTTTTTAATTGTAGTATAATCAACACACAACGTTGCATTAGTTTCAGGTATATAACACAGTGATTTGACAAGTCTATATGTTATGCTCTGTTCACCACAAGTGTAGCTCCCATCTGTCACCATACAACCCTAATACCGTTGACTCTATTTGCTATGCTGTACCTTTTATTCCCATGACTTATTGCATAACTGGAAGTCTGCACCTCCCTCTCTCTTTACCCCATTTTGCCCATCTCTCTACCCCCAACCCCTCTGGCAACCACCAGTTTGTCCTCTGTTTATGGGTCTGTTTCTGCTTTGTTTTGTTTTTTTTTTTAGATTCCACATATAAGTGAAATCATATGGTATTTATCTTCTCTGACTTATTTCCCTTAGTATAATACCCTCTAGGTCCATCCGTGTTTCAAAGATGTATGCCTTCATTTTTGAAAGATATTTTTGCCGGCATAAAATCCTAGGTTGGCAGTTTTTCTTTCCGTTCTTAAGGATGTTGCTCACAGGTCTTGCATTATTTCCAATGAGAAGTCAGCCGTCCTTCACATAATTGGTCCAAGGAACACGATGTATCTTTTTTTTCTCTGTTAAGATTTTCCTCTTTATCAGTAGTTTTAAACCATTTGTGTAGTTCATTTTCTTTATGTTTCTTGTGCTTTGGGGTTCGTTGACTTTTTGGATCTGTAAGTTTATAATTTTCTTAAAATTTAGAAAAAATTTGCCCTAGTTTTCTTCAATTATTTTTCTTCCCCCTTCTATTTGAGAGACTTAGTTACACATATTTTAGGCTGCTTGAAATTATCCCACAGCTTATTGATGTTCCATTCACTTTTTTCCCTCTCTGTGTTTCAGTTTGGAAAGTTCCTATTGCTGTCTTCAGGTTACTTAATCTTTTGTGGCATGTAACCAGCCATCAATCCCATTCAGTCTATTTTTCATGTTAGATATTGTATTTTTTCATCTCTCGAAGTTTGTTTTGGGTCTTCTAAATTATTGTTCATGTCTCTCCTTTACGTGATCGTGATTACCTTCTCAAAAATGTGAAATATGGTTGTAATAACTGTTCTTTGATTCTTGGTTTACTAATTATGTCATCTGTATCATTTCTAGATCTGTTTCTATTGATTTTTTCTCCTTATGGGTCCTAGTTTCCTGTTTCTTTGAATGTCTCATAATTTTTTATTAGATGCCAGGCATGGTTAATTTTACTTAACCTTGATTCTGGTATTTTGTCTTCCTTTAAGGGCTTTGTCTGGGGACAATGTTACTTAGAAACAGCTTTTGAGGCTTGCTTTTTAAACTTTGTGAAATGGGGCCATGGCAGCCTTTAATTGAGGGCTCATTTTACCCCCATTAGTGAGGCAGTCTGCTCCTGAGTGGTCTACCCAGTGCCCTGCAGATTGCACGTTTTTCCCCTTGGGTGGTGGGAACACAAACTATGCCTGCCCTGTGTGAGCTGCTGGAACTTGTTTGGCCTTCTCTTTTCAGATTCTTTTTGGGTATTCTTGTACACCCTTGCACTGATCAGTACTCAAGTGAAAAACTGAGAGGAACCCTCTGTAGATCTTCAGAGTGCTTCTGTCTGTGCACCTCTCTGCTCCCCAGTACTCTGTCCTAATTCCAGCATTTCTGGGTTAGTTATATGTGGATGAGCACGCCAAATAAATATCTTGTCTCTGCAATATAATTGTGAGGTATGGGCTAGAGAACAGACTTGTATCTTCATTATTTAAGTGATGTTGAAGTTATGAAAATGAAGGAGAATTTTCATACATGATGTGAGGATTGGGAAGAGAAAGAAGAAAGAAGAAAATGAGGAAAATAACAGGAGGAAGCAAGGAAATAGAAAGTTTGAAGATGAAAGGAAAAGAAGAATAAAGTGGTTTTTTGCAGAAGAGAGGTCTAGTAAGATCAGATTGAAAAATAATTGTTGCATTCCTACATTAATGAACCCAGATTGGATATTTCTTTTTTATATGCTGCTAGATTCAACTTACTAATATTATTTGCCTCTGAGATCATTAATAAGATTTTCCTATAATTTTCCTTTTGTCATATTGTCCTTGTTAATAAGTTTTTGGTATCAAATTTAGGTTAGCTTTATTAAAAGAATATTCCCTTAGGGCACCTGGGTGGCTCAGTCGGTTAATTGTTAGACTTTTGATTACGGCTCAAGTCATGATCTTGGGGTCGTGGGATTGAGCCCTGCATTGGGCTCCATGCTCAGTGTGGAGTCAGCTGGAGACTCTCCCATTGCCCCTCGCCCTGCTTGTGTGCTTGATCTCTCTCTAAAATAAATAAATAAAATCTTAAAAAAAAATATTCTCCTCTTTCCTGATATCTGGAATATTTTGTGTGTGATTGGAATTATTATTATTATTATTATTATTATTACTTATTATTGCTAGAGCTCATGGTAAAACTGTTTAGGCCAGGAGTTTTTTTGCATGTGTGTATTTAATAAGTGATTTAATTTTAGTTAATGGATATAGGTTATTAGATGGATATAGGTTATTATCTAATAATAATACCTGTACTTATATTGTGATTTCAGATAGGTCATTTCTTTTCATTCTCTTCACAACTTTGGTTGCTGGGTGAGCCAGCTCTTTGATTTCACAGGTGAGGAAAGCCACATACTGAGAATGCAGTAGGTGGCAGGCCTGTCTCTGCTGGTAAATGATGGCCGCTGGCCTTTCTGTGCCCGGAATGACACTCTTCCTCCACAGCCAGGTGTGAAACACAAGGGTTAGAACATCTTGGAAGTGGGAGGCATGTTGGAGATTTTCTGGTTAAGGACCATGCTGGGGATGGCCTGTGGACCTGTGCAGGTCTGCAAACTACTTGTTACTGGCCCACAACAAGATCAGCATGGAACTTCTGATAAGCTTTGAAAATTTTTATTGTAATGATGGAGCATGCCTCAACATCCAGGTGCATCTGTCCATTCATTGTCAACTTGAAAACTGCTGATCTGGTCTGTCCTCCCCGCCATAATAGGCTTTTCAGATAACAGCTTTGGCAAGTGATTATCTACCTGAGCTTCACTCTCCCTTTAAGACTTGCAGTTTCTCGGGGCGCCTGGGTGGCTCAGTCGTTAAGCGTCTGCCTTCGGCTCAGGTCATGATCCCGGGGTCCTGGGATCGAGCCCCGCATCGGGCTCCCCGCTCCGCGGGAAGCCTGCTCCCCCTTCCCCCACCCCCCGCTTGTGTTCCCTCTCTTGCTGTGTCTTTATCAAATAAATAAAATCTTTAAAAAAAAAAAAAAAAAGACTTGCAGTTTCTCCTCTCTTTCTTTTTTCTATTAATAGCCCTTGCATACTCCTCGTTATGCAAGTTCAGAGTCATTGAGTCATTATTGACTTTCTTATCCTTCATATCCAGTCACCAAATTGAGTTAATTCTTTTGTGATAATGGCCCTTACAGGTCTCGTTCTTTCTATTATATCCGTGACCTTTTATTACAGGCCCTCCCCTGTCCTTCAGTTGCTAGTTGTTGGCTGTGAAATCTGTATTCCTTCCCTCGCTGTGCTCCTGCTTAATCGTTTCCAACAGTTTTTCCCACTGCTGCCTTTGATAGCTCATCTGTACTTTACATTCTTTACATCTGAAATGGAATTTATTTCCTGCCCCAGATCTGCTTGTGTTCCTCTTCCCTGGTCTTCGCTGATGGAAGGGGCCGTGCGACTGTTGTCCCTCACATCCTCCCATCCCAGTTGATGGAGGTCTGCCTTTTATGCGTGCAGGATCCCTTTCCTTTCCTGCAGTCCCGCTGCCGCCGTCCTGGTGTGGGTTCTTGTTACCTGTTACCTGGAGTGTTTTCATAATTTCCTCCCTGCCCTCTGCCCTGTCTCTTCCCATTTCTGCCTACTGACGATGTAACCTTTCTCATGCATGGCTCTATTACTGTTGCCTATTTTCTTCAAACTCTACAAGGTTCTTCACTGCCAGTAGAATCTAGTGTTTAGGTTTAGAAAGTTGGCCTTACCCACCGTACTCCCCTGTGTATGCCACGTCTTCGCCAAAGTGAGCTACTTAGTACTTGCTGTTCTCTTTCCTGTCCCTCTCTGAAGCCTGACTTGTATTCCTTTATCCTTGTGAGGTACCCTTTTTTTTTTTCTCTTCAAATTCTACCCTTTCTTCACGGTTCAGTTCTGTTGTCATCTCCTCTGTGAAGCCTCTCATCCAGCAATCTTGCTAGTGAACTTTAATAGCCCTTTAGCCATATCTAGACCTCTCTATGTTCTCTGCCTCACATTGAAGATATTTATAGTACCTACTGGCTCAACTAGAACTCCCGAATGAAAACCTGCTATGGGACTTCAGAGAACAATTCAAAATAAAGATTCCTGGGCCCCATTCCATGGAAATTCTGGTTCAGTAGATCTCGGGTAGGTCTTGGGATTTCAAATTGTGAAAAACTCCTAGATTTTTCTAATTGAAGGTCAGATACTTGAATCATTGGTCAGCCTGCCCCAAGGTTTTAGTTACTGATTCGATTGTCTTTTGAGTTAACTTTGGGGATGTGTTTATCTTGTCTAAACTGCATTGCAAACTGCTTAAATTATTTTCTCCTTTGTAGGACTCAATGTAATAGACATATAGCGAATGTTGAATGTTAAATAAATGAAGAGATTGAAGTAAGATCCTTCAATTGGTATATTTGTAGTAGCTACTATACTGAAGAGAACATGTTTCTTAGGACTTATTTCCTAGACCAGAAATTTGCAAAGTAGGGATTCCTGGCTGGCTAAGTCTGTTAAAGTGTCTGCCTTTGGCTCAGGTCATGATTCTGGAGTCCTGGGATCGAGCTCAGTGGGGAGTCTGCTTCTCCCTCTCCCCCTGCCCTTCCCCCCCACTCGTGTTCTCTCTCGCTTGCTCTGCTTTGTCTCTCAGATTTTTTTAAAAACCTTTTTAAAAAAAAGATATCTCCTGTGTTAAAAGAAAATAATAAAAAATACTGTAGAATGATTGTGACCCCTACAATTAACATTCTGTAAGTGCTTAGCAAGGGGAGTGAAAACCAGTACATCTAAAAGGGCAGGTCTTTGATAAGGCACTGTTGGAATTCACTGCTCTATTTCTGGTATGACCTATCTTTTATGAAATTATGCTTAGTGTTTCCTCATAACTGCCATGTCATTTACTCAGTCGTTTTAGTTAAGCAAAGGTAAAGAAACTGTTTTCTTCCCGAGAACCCCTAGTCACTTAAAATTTAGAAGACCCAGATGCATTGTGTCTAACTCTGACATGCTGAGAAGGTGAAGCATCTGAAAGCACTGGGTGGCGTCTGCTGCCTTATTTATTGTTGAAATATTGTACTTACTTTCAGCTCTACTGGAATTCTCTAATTTTGTGAAGTATATGCTCACCTGCCCCAAATGTGGACCCTTGTGCATCCGAGTAGCTCCTTGACCCACTTTGCCCCCTCTCTAAACCGAGCCTAATGTTTAATCAGTTTCTCCCTTTATGCACTTTCCAGGTCAGACGACGATGATACGGAGAGTAGGAGCTCCAGGGTGACCCAACTTTGCACTTACTTTCAGCAGAAATATAAGCACCTCTGCCGCCTGGAGCGGGCAGAATCTCGTCAAAAGAAATGCCGGCACACGTTTAGGAAAGCTTTGCTGCAGGCGGCCAGCCGAGAACCGGAGTGTGCTGGTCAGTTGATGCAGGAACTGCAGAGAGCTGCCTGCAGCCGAACCAGGTGAGAGCCCCGGGCAGCCACCTGGTCCTCAGCCACCTGTCTCTCTTTTGTCTGTGTTTTGACAGGATAGTTGTGGCACAGTGGGCAGTGGGCATTTAAGCCTGAAGTATTTAAGCGTTGCATTGTGCTTTTGTTGCTCAGATAAAGTTTTGCATCACGTGGCGATAGAACATCGCCACGAGCTGTCTAAAAGCATTGCTGTTGGTTTGCCAGAGCTTGACTAGAATTTACACCGTGAAGTATTTGAGAATGCTACCTGCCTTAAAAAAAAAACCAAAAACCAGTGCTTAGAAATTTCATGTATTTAAAAGTGATATTTACCGTTTTTTTTTTTTTACTACAGAAATAGTATTTTACATTTTTTACTTAATATTTTTTTAAAAATTTTCTTTCCAACGTATTTTCTGTTGATATTTCCATTATCCCGCATATTAGGTCTTCAGAATACTTTATTACATTGCATTTCTTTGGGGGAAAAAATCTTTTCTTTTTATTTTATAGTCCAGGTATTTGCTTATTGTAAATTTGAAAAACATAGGAAAGGGCGGGGGGGATTTCCATAATATCACCATGCACAGAACAGAGAATGAGCACTATGAACATTCTCATTGTTTCCTTGTAGTCTATTTGCTTTGTGTGTGTGCGTGTGCACATGTGTGTGCGTATGAAATCTCCCCTGAGCCATGTATTTGTATTAAAGCAAAATTGAGATCATCCCATATGTATATTTTATTTCCTACTTTTTTCCTGTGGAACATTGGATTATGACCATTTTCTCATGACACTGATTCTTTAAAACATGGCTTTTAATGGCTTTGTAAATGGATGTCAGTCCTTGGACTTTTTCTGGTTTTTGTATGTATTTAAGTAAAACTGGGTCTATATTTAAGAGCTATGTGTCCAATTTTTTTCCCTTAAAAATACATCATTGCCGTTCCCCTCTGTTCTTAAAAATTGTTTTGAAATTATGGTTTATAATGTGTGCGTAGTGTTTTATTGACAGAAAGTCCATAAATTGGTCATGTAGAAGTTACCTGATGTTTTAATGAAGAAATTGTGGTGTTATCATCATTTCCGAAATTAGTTTAGATGGTGAAAACTTACCATAATTACTTATTTACGTTATATACCTTTTAAAAATACTGGCTTAAGTGGCGCCTGGGTGGCTCAGTTGGTTAAGCGTCTGCCTTCGGCTCAGGTCGTAATCCCAGGGTCCTGGGATCGAGCCCCACGTTGGGCTCCCTGCTCAGTGGAGCATCTGCTTCTCCCTCTGCCCCTCCTCTGCTTGTGCACTCTCTCTCTCTCAAATAAATAAAATCTTTTCTAGCTTAATTGAATTAAAATTTTCCAAAATAATCTTCATATTTAATAAAGGAAACAATTTTCAAATTTAGAAGGCATAGTTTTTTTTTGTTTTTAAGATTTTATTTATTTGAGAGAGAGCACAAACGGAGAGGAGGGGCAGAGGGAGAGGGAGAAGCAGGCTCTCTGCTGAGCAGGGAGTCCAATGCAGGGCTGGATCCCAGGACCCCGAAATCATGACCTGAGCCAAAGGCCAGTGCTTAACTGACTGAGACACCCAGGTGCCCCGGAAGGCATAGTTTTTTATGGAGTTTATTATTTCACAATTTTTAGTTACTATTTTTTTCAGATAACAACATTGAAATACACATTTTTATAAGTTTATATAACAAAATATGAGCAGTGGCGATCTCTAGAGGATGGGATTATTGATAAATTAAGGTTTAAAAAAATTAGTATTATGTATATTCTATTTTTTCTATAGTGATCATGAGTCACTGAGGAAAAAAGGAGTTTAAAATAAAACTAAAAAAAAAAAAATACTTTTTGGGCGCCTGGGTGGCTCAGTTGGTTAAGCGACTGCCCTCGGCTCAGGTCATGATCCTGGAGTCTCGGGATCGAGTCCCGCATTGGGCTCCCTGCCTCTGACCCTCCTCCCTCTCGTGCTCTCTATCTCTCATTCTCTCTCTCTCTCTCAAATAAATAAATAAAAATCTTTAAAAAAAAAAAAAGATTTTATTTATTTTGAGATCAAAAGCACAAGCAGGCGGGGGTTGGGCAGAGGGAGAGGGAGAAGCAGACTTCCTGCTGAGCAGGGAGCCTGACACAGGGTTGGATCCCAGGACCCTGAGATCATGACCTGAGGCGAAGGCAGACACTTAACCGATAGATCCACCCAGGCGCCCCAAGCTAGACAGTCATTTTTGTGAGGGCAGGAACAATGTACATTTTGTTCATAAATCTCCGGTATTGATGAACGAATGGATAGAATTAAACTAGTGAAGAGACGTCTGTTCTCTATTTGTTGAAAGAATTCACTTGGTTTGACATAGGTTTTAAAATAATGATATCTAACATTTACATTAGATAATGCTTTCAAGTATACAATTTCAGTGGAGACTTTCGTTTTGTCCAGCAATGAAGCAATCTATATGTGTAGAGTGTTACATACATTGAATCTAGTATATTATTATGACCTTGTCAAAGATGTAAGTAAGGATTGTACTCTGAGTTTGGGACAATTCGGTATTTGTGTAGAAAACTGTATTTATCTATGATTTTTAACTGGCAGAATCAACCCCCCCCCTTTTTTTCAAAACATTTCCCAAACCACCATTAGTGATTTTTTTTTTAATTTCGTGATAATTAAATACTACTAAACAAATACCAAGATAAACTCTCATATTCAGTCCTCAAATTTATTTGATGTCATTTGTTTATGTCACCCATGATTAGTAAAAAGTTTATTGCTCAGTGCCTCGCTGATAATCATTTAACAATGAGCCATAATCAGTTGTTGGTGATTGGTAGTTTACTACTTTACATTATATTTTAGGCTCACAAAAATCAGCTGTCAGTTGGATAATGCCCACTATTTGATGTTTTTGCTTTCAAAGACTAGTTCCACAAGAAACATTTAAAAAGTTGCTTTTAAATGTTCTAGAGGTTAAAACTTTAATGGCTGCCTTTTAATATAGGTATCCTTTAACATATAGTTTGGATCTAAACTGAGTAACATTATTCTTTCTCATCTAATAGCTTTGTCCTATATATTGGTGAATATATGGAATAAACCACTGAACAAGCTTAACTATGTAGACTCACATCTAAGTATCTTGTAGCCGACAATCCTACAGAGACTAGTGTTTGTGTAGAAACTTTATTGTAAAAGGGGGATCTAATAATACAAAACGGAAGCTTGTAGTAGGTGTTTTCACATTAAAAACATCAAAATGTTTTGGTAATTCTCTGTTTTGTTGGGATTATTCGGTTAATACAAATCTAACATCAGGCATTTTTACCTTAATTATCCAGGGACGTATTGAAATTTTGACTTTGAGTTTATTTTACTGTTTAAGAGATAGATGGGTGAGTTGGAACGTATCAGCAATTTTACAAAATGAAACTGGGCCCTTCGAAGTCTAGGATAAAGGAAAACAAGGGAATGTGTGGTACTCGAGGCTGGGTAAATGGCTGAGCAGATTCTTGAAGTGTTCCACAAAAGTAATCCATTCAGTATAGAGAATTGCTTTCTATTTAAATCTAGACCAAGAGAATTGGGGTAAGGTGCCGAAATAGTACAGCTTCATTTATTTGAAATTGTCTATCCTTTTTACAGACCTAAGTTAATGGCCCGCTTCTCCACTCTTGTGATTCTGACACATCTTGCAGCACCTTAATTAAAGCAGCTTCGATGGCAGCACCTGGTTCTCTATTTGCATGGACTGTTTATAGGAAAGTTAGAGTAGAAATTTTACTTAGATTTTCTGTAAATTCATATGTAATTTGGGTTCTGTATGACCTAATTAGTATAAATAATTCTATTGAAGTCCTTAGAATTAGAAACAATTTAAAAGATACTTTATTTTTAATGCGTGATGTGTGATTCAGTATATTATGTAGATTCTTTTTCTACCTTCAGATAGGTGTAAAGTCCTACCAGTTTGTGATGCTTCAGAGAATCAAATTACACAGGACAGTTTTTGTACTTCTAAGAACTTGAATATTATTTATTTTAATTTTTTAATGTTTGTTTAAAACTATGGAAACATCCACAAAATAATAAAATGAATACTTATTATAGAGAGAGTGGGAACTGGCAAATTGGGATAAGGGTAGGTAGAAAGGAGACTCTTTTAAATTTTACTTATTTATTTTAAATCTCTTTCTTTGTTTTGGGTTTTTTTTTTTAAGATTTTATTTATTTATGTGTGTGTGTGTGTGTGTGTGTGTGTGTGTGAGAGAGAAAGCACAAGCAGAGGGAGAAGCAGACTCCCCGCCAATCCAGGAGTCCAATGCAGGAGGGACTTGATCCCAGGACCCTGGGATCATGACCTGAGCTGAAGGCAGACGCTTAACCCACTGAGCCACCCAGGTGTCCCAAAAGGAACCAAAATATCACTTAAAAAGAAAAAACAGGCATAGTTGAAATCAATTATAATACAATTACTTGTTTTGGCAGTAGATTGTGGAAATACTGGAACTGGTCATTGTACCTGATCGTTACCTTTTATTTAAAGAATGTAGAAAGGTGAAATGTTGGTGTTACAACCTGCCAGCCTAGTGTTGAAAAGTTGCCCTGGATCTTTAAAGCATTTTTTAGAAATTAATGTTGTCTCTTTGCTTTCTTAGCATAAGCCGGACCAAGTTGAGGGAGGCGGAGCCAGCAGCATGCAGTGGAACCGTGAAGGGTGAACGGTGCCCTAACAAAGCCCTTCCATTCACCAGACATTGTTTCCAGCGTATCCTCTTAACTGAATTGAGTGTGCATCGAAAAGTATTAACTCATTCGGGGCTAGTATTTCATTCTTAAGCCAAGTGGATGACTTTTGAAATCCTAACTATTTCATGTTTATAATTTTTATATAACTTCATTTTCATGATGTCTTCTGAATAATTTTTTTTCCACTTCTATCATCGTGATTGTCTGTTTAAGAATTATATCAGAATCTGCAAAATTGATAGCAAGTAGCAGATTCTTCTGGTGGCCGTCACTTAATTAAAAGAAATCTGGTTCTTGCGTGGTTCTGCGTAGCTTCTAGGAAGCAACTATAACACTCATTGGATGGAGAAGTCAGATCATATTCAAAAACTGATTTTAGTCTTCCAAGAAAGTTAGAGTTTTACAGTGTGCCTTTTGCTCTGGGAATAATTTGCTATTTTTATTGAGCATAGTGCTGATTTGAAATGAAAGAAAGATAGACATCACTGACTAGGAAAGAAGATACATTAAGACAGAATATACGTGAGGAAAACCTGGGTAAAGGGCCTCAGGCTGGTTATGAAATCTTATTACTCTCACTTTCATTAAACATGTAAAATTGAGTAGCATTTAAAAAATTTATACAGTAGCAATTACTTGCTCTTCTTTATTATCTTTGACTTTTTGCCCTCCTTTCTATTCCTGGCATTAAATTTCCACAACTTTTTCAGCAGCACTTTCTATGCAGTAAAGGTTTTATAAATAGCTTTAACTATTAAGAGTATAAAGGAAAAACAGAAAGGTACTTCCTTGACAGGTATGAAGTACGAGTTCAGGAAATGTCGATAGGGGCTAAAAGTTTGGACATTTAAAAATGTTGATGAAGTAAAGCTGATGTTCCACGTTTAATGGTACAGTTTTGATCAAAAAGTAATTCTTCCTAAGTTCTAAGTGAGAGTTTTGTGTTGGAAATGGGAAATGAAAAATCAAATTTGGATAGATGAGTTTTTATAATTATATCTTAAAATTTTTATTCTTCTTGATGTGGATTATATGTGAAAATTTTCCTTAAAAGAAAGTGTTTTTTTCTAACCATTGTAGTGGGACTTCTAGGAGTTTTAGTGTGTTAAGAAGGAAACGACCCTGCTTATTCTAAATAACAAAAATCAGAATGTCCGTAAAGGAGACTTCTATTAGGAGACCTTTAGCAATATAGACTCCTTTAGAAGTATCTTCTGATAAATTCAGCAATTATCATTTCCCATTATCAGTATTTGGCTTGGTTCTTCAGCTTTTATAGATAAGAAAATTTATTAGTAAACACAAATAAGGGAAGAAGCAAGATTTTTTTTCTTAAAGACTAACGTATTTAGAGAGAGTGCGTGCGTGCATGCGGTGAGGGAGAGGGCGAAGGAGAGAGAATCTCAAGCAGACTCCCCACTGAGCACAGATCCCCATACGGGGCTCGATCCCATGACCCTGAGACCACAACCTGAGCCGAAACCAAGAGTTGGGCCCTTAACCAACTATGCCCCCAAGGCGGTCCAGAAGCAGATTTTATATAAAAATTGAAAACTTAAATAATTTGAGTTTCAGTGCATTATATTCCTAACTTTGAAAACCACAGATATCCTCTTGAATCGCTCTCAGCAGCTTTTCTCAAGTTGCACGGCCAAGTTTGCAGACGGACAGCAGTGCTCTGTGCCCGTGTTCGACATTACACACCAGACCCCTCTGTGTGAAGAACATGCCAAAAAAATGGTGAGTTCACATTTTATTTTCTGCAGCAGAGACTTTCAAACGGACGCCAATCCACAGTAGAAAGTATCTGTTGACTTAGTACAAACTATATGTGTATGTAAATATATATGTTAATATAAATATGCATATAAATATTAATATATTAATATTACATATAGATATATATGTGCTGGTCATGATCCACAATTAATTTCATAGCTAATTTAAAAAAACTGTTCTAGAAGGTATTTAGTAGTTACATACATATGGTTATTTTGTTTATTATCTATCCCTATTCTATACCTCCCTTCTCCTTAAGTACATTTTCTTGTACTTAACAGATTTTTCAAGGTTTCTTTGCCCCATTTCTCTAGATTTTTGCTTTTTTATATACAGTTCTGTGAATGTCTTAGATATTTGATGAAATTTTAGCCACAAGCCAATTTTTCTGTAATTAAGTGCATTTTTATTGTTTTTACCCAGATACTTGGCTGAGTTCAGCTCTTTGCTAGGTAGTATGCAAGGTATATGTATTAAAAAGCTGAATAAGACCAATCTTTCCCTCTGTAAGCATTTTGTAGTTCTAAGGGTGCACCAGGGTAACGGCACGGCCATTGGACCAGGACTTAATAGTATAAGGCTGTGATCCTGGTGTTGCCACCAGCAAAATGTGTAACAAGGACTGTTTTAAGTAAAAAATCCCAGCTGAGTACAGCAAACATTTGTAGCCATCAGTCCACAGTGAGAGGCTCACACTGGATGAGAAAAACCGTACAAATCTCTTGGCTCTATGTTCAAACGTTCTTGAATCCAAGCACGTAGTACCAGCTTGGCTGCTACCATTCTAGCTTCAGTTGTTCTCACCTTTGCCTGGATGACTCTAATAGTCTCCTAATTGGTTCCCCTTCCTCTAGCCGTTCCCCCTACCCCCAGACGTATTGTTCACATAGCAGCTAGAGTAGGCTGTGTGGGCTCCACTCCCTTTGAGTTCATGTGCTGTAAAATTCACTCCTTTTGCTCCACAGTTCTCTGAGTTTGACAATACACACAGTCCTGTAACCACCGATGTATCAAGATATGCCATTAACCCCCCACATTCTCTTGTGTTATCCCCACCCCCCTGCAGTCTACCCCTCCCTCTCTCTCCACTGAAGTCTTCCTGCCCCTACAATTTTACATTTTCCAGAATGTCTTATAATTGGAATCCTACAGTATGTGGCCATGAGAGCAGGCCTTTGAGAATATACATGTGATCGTTTTAGTTTCCTGGTCAGAACCTTCCAGTGGCTTTCCATCACGTCCTGAATCAAATCCAAGATTCTCACCATGGCCTATGAGACTTGCTGATCTGGTCTTTGCAGTCTCTCTAGCTGCACATAACGTAGTACCCCCTTCACTTTCGGAGTTCTGGCGACATCAGCCTTCTTGCTGCTGCTTCAACACTCGGAAGCTTGCTCCCACCTCATGGGCTTTGTGATTGTCCCTTTTCTTCCATTTCTGCATGCCTCACTCCTTCATTCAGGTTTCCGATCAGATGTCACTTCATCAAAGAAGTCTTCCACCTCCTCTCCACCCCTGTCATTTTTTATCCTCATACTCTACTGGTTTTTCTTCCTAACAGTGATATCAGCCTAATACTATATTATCTATTAATTAGTTTGTTTATTGCCATTATCCCTCTACTAGAATGTCAGTTTGACAAAGGCAGGAACATTTTTTGTTCATTGCTATATCCCCAGTGCTTAGAACAAAAATGCTCAGTAAGTCATTGTTGAATAACAGTTGGGCACATGGCTGGGAAAGTTGAAATTTGGAATTAGGTTCAACCACTGGACAGAACAGCCATTGGTAGAAGCAGCTCAAGCTACAGGAAGTCCAGGCTGATACACAGAACTTGGTATTCGATGAGTATGAACCCATACGACAGATGGTAAGTTAGTAAATGCAGTGTCCTGACACATAAGTAGAAGGAGACAGTGAGCAAGTTGGGAGTGAATAGTGTAGGCAATGGACAGATGGCATGAGGAAAGCCTCTAGGGCCCGGAGGCACCAGCGCTCTGGAGGAGCTCTGTGGGGGACTATCAAGAGCCCGCAGGGCCTCAGGCGGGGGCAGTTCTGTGTGGAGTACCTGGCACATGACCAACAATGTTGTTGGGCTACAAGGCATAAGCTTAGGAGGATAAGACACACACCTAGAACCAGAACTAGGTGGTACTGGAGTGTCTTACAAGTAGGACATGTAGATCTGGGGCTAGATAAACTTTCTCCTGCCTAACATCCCCACTAGTCCTAGGGGGAGAGTCTGGGATGGATGCCCAGCACCCTGGTAGGTACCGGTGGTTGCTCACTGTTTGTTGAATTAAATAGCTGATAATAATAAAAGTAGACCTCAAGTATTGAGCCAAAGAACTACAGACGCTGGGAAGCAGCCTTTCTTTTTTTGTTTGTTTGTTTCATGAATTTGTACATTTGTGACTTGAGTCTGTAATTTAGCTCCAAGTATTTGGCTAGTATTAACCTTCTTTTGAATCTCCTGAATTGATAATTTAATTTTATTCTTTCTTGTCTTGAATTTGTTTGCTAGTATTAATAACTAGTTTTAGTTATTAGTTTTCAAATACTTTGTACTCATTTTATGTATTTAGTTATGAGTTATTAATGTTATTAATGAATTCACTAAAAGGTGACATCAGTTGTAAAAACCACGATTGTTTTATATACCACCAAGAAATTTAAAAAATGGGATACAGTGCATTTCTTACCACTTACAATTTTTGTTTTATATTTATCAAAATAGCTTCTTTAGGCTTAATCAGGCATAGATTTTTATCTTTTCTGATGCTCCTGGTTTCCGCTGAATTACTCGATGCATCGAAAGGCAGTGTTTTCTATGTACATCAACTGTAACACAGTTTCGTCTACTTTGTGGTTGTGTTCCTTTCTCATTTGGTTGTTGCTTTACAAAAAAGAAAGGAATTGTGGTCAGATCTTCAATAATGAGTATTTGCTTCACTAATGACAGTTGGATACACTGCTTCTCTTTGTGCTTCCACACACTCAGCTTTTCCTCTTCGTGTAAAACCAGTAATGCACATCCCTCGACTCAAAACAGCAACAGTACCAAGAACATATGCACATATGTAGGCAACGCCAACTATTGTGATCATCACCAGGCCAACAGCAATTGTAAGATGCCTTTATTGTAAAATGGACCTCAGTTACAGAGACACTACAATGTGTATCTTGGAACTAATGAAACGCAGTATTCAGATTGAAGGGTGGCCCCTAAAGAAGGCTGGTTATTATATGGTCAATTTCTTGTTCTTCCTGGCTGGTTCTTCCTCTCTCAGCTCACGTAATTAGAACAGTTTTATAACACTGAAGTCCCATGGTCTCTCTTTACCTGTCTCCCTGGCCTGTGTCAATGACTGGACAGACTTTTATTGTGTCATGATTTCTGAGGCTACATCTCCACCCCATTCTTTATCCCTTATACCGTTTTCTCCTATCTCCTGGGACATCTTCATACCTCAAATTGTGAGCCAAACTGAATTCCTTAACTTTTCTTCTGAATCCTTATTCTGCTGTGTGCTCTGTTCCAACTAATGATACCATCTAACAGTCAACCCTAGAAACCCTAGAGGCATCTTCGACTGCTCTCTTCCCTTCATCCTCACCACATCCAAGGAGCTGTCAAATCTTGAGAATTCTGTCCCTACAGGGCCTTGCTTTTCCATTCCCACTCATATCGCCTTAGTCGTTTGCCTTGTATTGACTGTTGGAGTGGCCCTCTGATTGGAAATAATGCCTCCCTCCACTTACCTTTTGTCTGTCCCTTTACCTTGCTACCAGCCTAGTTACTCCTTTCAAAACATGTCAAATTGTGTTAATCCTTTCATCAAAAATCATTTCACATTGCCTATAAGATGAAGTTGAAAATCCTTAACAGGGTATTCAAAGTCATATATGATCTGGTCCTAAACTTTACAGCTTACTTTCATATTCCATCCTCCATACGCCACACCCCAAGCACCAGTCATACCTGGTTATTTGCTGTTCTTTTTTGTCTTGTTTGTGCCATTTCCTTTTAATCATGCAAAACTACAAATAATTGGTTTTCCTTTCGTACACCCATAGAAGGTCACTATTACCCTCTTTTTTCTGTACTGTATTTATGTATACTTGTATTCATGGTTTTCCTATGGAAGAGTAAGTTCTTTGAGAGTGCAATTACATTTCATTCATTATATTTTTACACTGCAGCACCTATCCCAATGTCTTTTTTTCCCCTCCCCGTCCCTTCTACCCACCTGCACCTCCCCCTTGGCCTGCCATGGTCTCACAGTGTGGGATGAACTGTGTGTATATATTGAATTGATTTGAATTAAATTAAAAAACGAATTCTTTATTCATTTATTGCTATGCATAGTTGGAGGTATGCAGTATGCTTTAGGCATTCCATAGAATGTTACGAGATACATTTTTTTCAGGTAGCTGTTAGGTTTTTCCTAAACAGTCTTAGTTTAAAAGTACCCATTTATTCATTCCGAAGGATAATTTCTTGAGAGGAGATAGCTCCCGTAAAGTTCAGCACCAGCAGCAGAGGAAACCCAGGAAAAAAACCAAGCCTCCTGCACTTACCAAAAAACACAAGAAGAAGAGAAGGCGTGGACCTCGTCGACCCCAAAAACCCATTCCCCCTGCAGTACCCCAAGGGAACCTCAGCATGCCCACCAGCGTCTCACTGCCAGTGGAGGCTGCTCAGATCCGGTCAGTGATGGTGCCGAAGCTTATATTTCCTTTCTGTGTTCGATGGTTCTCAGAACATCTAGCTTACGTTCTTCTCTAGCGTTGTGGCTGGCCTCCAGAAGCCATTTTGATAAATCAGCCTAGGCTTTGTAGATTTCAGTGTAATTTTTACCAAATATTTGACTGAGTGAGATCTGAAATAAAGCTTTTGGTAATAACACAGAAAGCAGATGCCGAAGTTGAGAATTTGTCTACTCAGATTTTTCTGTTTTAACAGAAATTCCATATATGTTTCAACAGAAATATTCCATCAGAATTCTAATGCATTACTAATTTTGGCAGGGGTTAGTTAGCATTTTCACCAGATGAATGAGGCTTCTGTTTCAGCTAAGCATCTCTATTTTATCTGTTTATGTCATTTTTAAAAATTATTATTTCGACTAGATTTGAAATTTACTAAAAAGTATGAAGACATAGTGCACAAAACTAATTCATTCTACTAATTTGAAGTTAGAAATACCATCTCAGAGTGGTTGCCTTCATTAATACCTGGTTAAAAACTGCAGAAATATGTGACTGGATGGCGAGGTCTTCCTTTTGCTTTCACATTTCCTTCTCTGAAAGTAGGAAAAGAAGACAGTTTGAGTTAGGATTTCCCATCTTCGTGTTTGATGAACTTGTCTTGGGGACACTGGTGTGAAGGGAAGAGGGGAGTGGTGGGGCCAACCATGTCTTCTTCCCTAGGAGCCCGTCCACGCCGGAGCTGAGTGCTGATGAGTTGCCGGATGACATTGCCAATGAGATCACTGACATTCCACATGACTTGGAATTGAACCAGGAGGACTTTTCAGACGTCCTGCCACGGCTACCTGATGACTTACAAGATTTTGATTTTTTTGAAGGTGTGGTCAACATTTTGATTCAAGACTTTTTTTTTTTAATGAGTTTTTAAAAAGGGAAATTGTGTTTTTGAGATGTGTTTGGAGTACCCCTCCTCACAGATAGAAAATGCAGCACCGCTAAAGCTATTTTCCCGTTCCAGAAGGCAAGGGCTGTGTGGTTTTTCTCACCATACTGTAGGCTTAGTAGATTGATCATTCAGTTGTTAGGTTTTTAACTTTGTTGCTTTAAAAATGAGTCATTTTACTTCATTTTTCAACAAAAACATTTTTTTTTTTAAGACTTTATTTATTTGTCAGAGAAAGAGCACGCACAACCAGGGGGAGCAGGAGGCAGAGGGAGAAGCAGGCCGCCTGCTGAGCAGGGAGCCCGATGCGGGGCTCGATCCCAGAACCTTGGGATCATGACCTGAGCCAAAGGCAGACGCTTAACGACTGGGCAACCAGGTGTCCCAACAGAAACATTTTAAACTTGAGTTAATTGAAGCCTTTTAGAACTTGTCCTAATCTTAATACCTGTACGTCAGTTGAAGTGCATTTTTCCAAAACTAAGTTTGCTTAATCCCACCAGTTCTCTGGTGCTTTCAGGGGAAACCTTTTTATATTCTTAGACTGTTTCTTTCCCCATTAAAAACTGGGTATTTTTGTGGTGATTAGTCAAGTTCCCCACTATATAGTTCTTTTTTTTTTTTTTAAGATTTTATTTATTTGACAGTGCAAGCAGGCAGAGCAGTGGGCAGAAGGAGAAGCAGCCTCTCTGCAGAGCAAGGAGCCCGATGCAGGACTTGGACCCAGGACCCTGGGATCATGACCTGAACCACCCAGGCATCCCTAGATTTTTTATATTGGAAATGAAATCAGCAGCGACCCATGGGCTTCCATCTTACGAAAATTAGAACAAGAGGAGCAGGATTAGCAGGTCACACAAAAGCATTTTAAAAGATAATGTCTGAGTGGAGGGGAGTGCGGGGTGCTCACATGCAAGCATGAGTCGCTCTATTCTCCAGTCTTCTGCAGCCGCCCTTCAGCTGGAGGAAGGAGTTCAAGAGCAGAAGAACCAAGGGGGGACTCCTACACAGCTTTTTGTCTGCAGTCTGAACCAATATGATATGTTTCCTATTGTAATGATTTTAACATAAGTTTACGTAAAACCATACGTGTAGTTAGACTGGTCTTAGAATCCTTAAGAATTTAATGCTTTGATGAGTTGGGTTTAGGGAGTGCTGTGAATGAACTGAAGATGTGATGCAGGTTCCAGGACCGCTCGACCTTTCAGGCCTATCCTATGGATTCGTATTCACTCTTTTGTTCCAATCCAGTCCTTGGAAGATTCTCTATTCCACAGGGATTCTCTTTAATAGAATATTGGTTTGGTTTGGTTTTAAAGATTTACTTATTTATTAGCAAGCACTCACGTGTGGGGGGAGGGGCAGAGGGAGAGAATCTCAGACTCCCCGCTGAGCCTGAAGCCCAACCTGGGGCTTGATCCCACGACCCTGAGATGATAACCTGAACTGAAATCAAGAGTCTGATGCTTAACCAACTGAGTCACACAGGCGCCCGTAGTTTTTTTGTTGTTGTTGTTGTTTGTTTTTTATTTTTTTTAAGGTTTTATTTATTTGAGAGGGAGAGAGCGCATGCCCATGGGTGAGGGAGAGGGAGAAGCAGATTCCTTGCCGAGCAGGGAGATTGACGTGGGACTCGATCCCAGACCCTGGGATCATGAGCAGAGCTGAAGGCAGATGCTTGACTGACTGAGCCACCCGGGCGCCCATTTTTTTTAAAGATTTATTTATTTATTTATTTGAGAGAGCGTGTGTATGGGGGGGAGGGGCAGAGGGAGAGAGAAACTTTTAAGAAGACTTGGACACTCAGCATGGAGCCCGACTTGGGGCTCCATCTCACGAACCTGAGATCATGACCTGAGCTGAAATCAAGAGTCAGAGCTCAACTGACTGAGCCACCCAGGCGCCCCTTTAATAGAATATTTTAAAAAGTAATTCAGATGTATGGTTTTGTGGTATGGCACCAGTAAAAGCTCTGCTGATTCTTGATGGCTTTTGTTTTCCTCAGGAAAGAATGGAGACCTCCTTCCAACTACCGAAGAGGCCGAGGAACTTGAACGGGCCTTGCAGGCTGTAACTTCTCTTGAGTGCCTGAGTACCATTGGGGTACTTACCCAGTCAGATGGTGTGCCCGTCCAGGAGTTGTCAGATAGAGGAATAGGGGTGTTCTCCACAGGTACTGGAGCTTCAGGAATTCAGTCCTTGAGCCGAGAAGTTAACACGGACCTAGGGGAGCTATTGAATGGGCGCATAGTACATGATAATTTTTCTAGTCTAGAGCTGGATGAGAACCTGCTCCGTTCTGCTACCTTGTCTAACCCACCTACACCCCTGGCAGGGCAGATCCAGGGGCAGTTCTCTGCCCCAGCCAACGTTGGCCTTACTTCTGCCACTCTGATCAGCCAGAGTGCACTTGGGGAGAGAGCCTTCCCAGGACAGTTTCATGGACTACATGATGGCAGCCATGCCTCCCAGAGGCCACATCCTGCCCAGCTGCTGAGCAAGGCAGATGACCTAATCACCTCACGACAGCAATACAGCAGTGATCATTCACACTCCTCGCCCCATGGAAGCCATTATGATAGTGAGCACGTGCCGTCTCCCTATAGTGACCATATCACCTCTCCCCACACAACATCTTATTCTGGTGATAATATGGCAGCTACCTTTTCAGCAGAGATGCCCATCATGGCGCAGCACTTGCTCCCAACCCAACTCGAGGTGCCACTTGGAGGAGTCGTAAACCCCAGAACTCACTGGGGCAATCTCCCTGTCAACCTTGGAGATCCCTCTCCATTTAGCAACCTTCTCGGCGCAGATGGACATCTTCTTTCCACTTCCCTATCCACACCACCCACCACGTCGAACTCAGAGACCACACAGCCTGCCTTCGCCACCGTGACCCCCAGCAGCTCCAGTGTGCTTCCGGGGTTACCGCAGACCAGCTTCAGTGGCATGGGGCCTTCTGCTGAACTCATGGCCTCCACCTCTCCCAAGCAGCAACTCCCTCAGTTCAGCGCAGCCTTCGGCCACCAGCTGAGTTCTCACAGTGGCATTCCTAAGGACCTGCAGCCCAGCCACAGCTCGATAGCCCCTCCTACAGGCTTCACAGTAACAGGTGCCACAGCTACAAGTACCAATAATGCATCTTCTCCCTTTACCTCCCCTAACTGAGCGTGTCTGTGTGTTTGCAGGCAGGTGGGGAACCTGGTGTTTTCTATCTTTGTTTCCTGTTTAGCATCCCTCTCCCCCTTTTCCTAAAGAAGATTTTAAAAATAACAGATGGGGACTAAAGGGGAACTCCCTTTCCCGGTTCAGCAAGCAAGCCTGCGGCGGACCTTGCTTCAGTGTTCACGCGTGCTCCTTCGCACTGGTGCTCATTCCCTCCTGGCGGGTTCTCTCTACCCCGATGGTTTCCTTAGTGGCTCAGCACAGTGACTGGCTAGAGTTGATTTTTAGCAGCAAGTCCTAGAAGTGGAAGATACCTCAGATTACCAGTGCCCTTTACTATTTCCTAGTGTTCAGATCAATGCTTTCCATTCTATGACCAGGTCTTTACGGAGGTGGTTCTAGATAGAATGGTCCTATTCATTGAGTTCCTGTGTAAGCGGTAGCAGGTGGTGCATAGCGGGCAGATCGAGGCTCTGCCTTAGCACCAACTGCTAGACACCACATGAGGCCAGGATTCCATCCCTAATTGTGATCATGTTCAATTAAAAAAAAAATTAGTCTTTTTGACCGCCTTTGTGTATGTGTGCACCCATGTGTGTGTTTTTGTGCAGGGCAGGAAGCCGCTGTCCCGTTGTTGTTGTTGTTGTTGTTGTTGTTTTACTATTTTTTTTTTTTCCTAACGAGTTTAAGGCTCTGACTTCTCCTTTCCCACATCTCAGAACCCTCATCAGGTTGGTCATTCTTTCCCCCTGAATTAGCGAAGTCTCCCGCGCACAGAGGGTGGTGGGCTGATGATGGGAATTGCACAAGCCCGTTCTGCTCGGTGATCCAAGAATGCAGAAAGCCGAATTCACATCAGGGCCATGGGGACGCCACAGAAAGCTTGCGTGGAGTGACTGCAGGGTTCCTGAGATTCTGGGGTCCGGTGGTTACTTTGCCTTTTTAGACGCGCATTTTGTTTCTGCATCCCTCTCATGGAGTACGTTCACGAGATGTAATTATAAAAAGACCATATTTTGATGTGAAAAGCAGGATAGGTCAGCTAGATTCGGAAAGATGGGATCTTTGAACTCCTTGATCCGTCTTTTACTTTTGACTTTTTCATGTTTACAGTAGTGATTCTTCGGTAAGATTTGTAAAATGTTGAAGACACTTGTAGAATCAATGTACCAGTTGTGAAGTGATGTGTAATATCTGAAGGATACACATTTTGAAGTTTCTTTCAAAGCAGAATATGGAAATTAGACATAAATTGTACCCACCCTTTGGTACTTTTAAAATAATTGAAGTACTTAGGTTTAAGTTTGGGGAATTTTTTTTTTTTTTTAAAGTACCAGGATTTTAGGGTTAAAAATCATATTGGGTAGTTTAGTGAGTTGGTGACTATGAAATAAATCTATGAGGTTTCTTTTTACCTGCCTTCTCCCCTGCCCCCTCCCCAAGGGTGGAACTAGATTCTAAAGGCATCTGTGCTCTGCTTTTGCTGAGAAGTTTCACTGTCCCCTGAGATACCATTGGCTATTTATACCTGAGTCTAGTCTAATTTACATATATATATTTTAAAAGATGAGTAGAAAGAACATATCTATTAATGATGTGATATAATAATTCATTTGTCAGGGAATATTTGATCTTAATTCCTTTTCAATAGGTAAAGATTTGGATGTATTTTCCTACTTCCTATATGTATTCTCTTTATGCCATGCTAATTCTAACCAGTCCCTTCTTTTGAAAGCTTTTCTTTCTCTGCTTTTTAAAGGAATGATGGTGATCAGCAGGCATTATGCAGATACCACGTGCCTGAGATTATGGAGGGGAAATGTCACATGACTGTATGAAATCATTATATGCCCTATTTTGTATTTATTGAAGTTTTCTTTTTGTGGGCCAAAAATACATTTGTAATATATTTAGTTTTTTTTTTAATCATGATAATTGATTGGAAGATTTATTTTTTAATAGCTTTGCCTTTTTTGCAGATTGAGAAATTTCTAAATTATAAATTGTGTCACAAAGCAAAATTATATTTGGTATCACCATAAATTTCTATTCTGAATGGTGAGGACAGATCATTTGAGCATCTCTCACCTGTGAACCTATGTTAGGAAGCTTTTTTATTTTAATGTACTGTAATGAAATGATGATGAGTAGTTACCTCTGCTCAAAAGTATCCCTTCATTTGTTCTGCTCTTTCACCTCCCCTTCTGATTACCCCTGGATAACTGTCTGTTCCCCGCAGTCGCTCTAGTCTGCATCGTGGGCTCGTCCCAGGTTGTGGCAGCACACCAGCTGTCTTACCTACCAGCCCCCTCTGACAGCAAAGGGAAAGTCCTGGGCAGTCGGTTGGAGCTCCTCTGGCTCTTCATCCCTCGTGGTAGCTGCTTAAAATTCTTCAGTTGTCAGAACTGAGTTTGCAGTAAGTTGCACATTTTCTTGTTTGCAATTTTCTGTTTTATGTGCATTGAAAAGCCCTTTCCTGCTTTCTAGTAAGGAGGCATAAAATGATCAGGAATGTTGCCAGTTTCAGCTTCACACCAAAAACTTCGAGTCAGTTCATTTTTGTTTAGATGCCCACAGGGATAGCTGGAAAAGGGGCGCCCGTAGGAAGTACCAGTGTAGGTTTGAGGAATTAGCAAAAAAAAAAACAAAAACAAAACAAAAAAAACCCCCAACAAATTTGTCCTCATTTCGTCTCCTTCAAAACCAACATCCAAGCTTGCAGCTTGCTTTGCTCTTGCGGCTTCTTGTGAGTCCCTTTTTGGAAGAGAGAAGAACATCTGTGAACCCAGCGATAACCCGGTAGGTTTCTCTTAGCTAATGCAGAGCAGTTCTAGTCTGCTAGTAGTAGGTTTGCTGTCCGTGTGTAGAGAAAGGAACGAAGTGTCTTTTACTCGAGAAATACAAAAATTTGTGTCATTCAAATAGCACTTACGCTATCATAAGGCAATACTGGAATCAAAAGCAGATTTTATGTAAGGTCCTAATTAGGGGGAAACTAGCTTTTATTCTAGTGTGAAACTCATGAGAAATGGTGGCAGAGAAGTTCACTCTGTTTCTGCAGTTCTTTGGGACCATTTATAAAGGCCAGTTAGATTGTGTTAATGTGATTTATTTACAAAGTTGCTGCCGTTCATGGATACATTCTGTACTGGGAGAATCTGAATTCCATTCTAAGGAATGATACTCACTGGCTGTGCTCTTATAGCATCGAAGAAAAGATGTGTTTTCTCTCCTTTACTCTCTCTACGTAAGTGTTAATATTATTTTTTAATTAAAGTACTCAAGACATTGTTTTTTCCTCTGTAAAAATGGCTTAGTAATTTGCACATCTGCGTAGGTTATGTAGTTAGTAAACAATTCACAATAGTAAATAGCAATTACACTTAACCCACCAAATGACAGACTATGCAATGGAAAAATTTTGTAATTATCGTCACATAGCTTATACGGTGAAGGATTTTTTTTTTTCCCTCTCTAGTAACCTACCATGTGAGATAGAACTGCTTTATAAATGACTTCCTGGGCAATTTCATGCTGGCAGGCACTGCGGTGTGTCTGATGACCCTCCACAAAAAGATTATAATTTAATGAGAAGCAAATAGTAGGTATGGAGATAAAGTTGGAAAATGTGGGGTGTTTTTTTCCCCCCTTTTCCTTAAAATTGTAGTTACCGTTTTGAGGGGCGTCAGGCTAAAGAAAGCTAATACTTTATCTTTGCCAAATAATTATTTATAAGATTTATTTCTTCAACAAGCCCAGTCTCTCAACTGCAAGCTAAGAATCCTCACTTTCTGTGACTAACACTAAAGCTTTTCCTTATCAGAGCTCATTTGTAGTCCTTGATCACAACCCAGAGGCAAAGACAGTGCTTTGATTTGGAAGGAAACAGTGTCTGTGATCCATGCCCAATCTGTAAGCTTTCTTCTTATGTGAAAGAATTTATATCTCTATTGACCTGTACCATTCAGTTTTGTTTTGTTTTGTTTTATTTTAAGTAGGCTCCACACCCAGTGTGGGGCTTGAACTCACAACCCTGAGATCAAGAGTCACATGCTCTACCGACTGAGCCAGTCACATGCCCCTGTACCATTCGGGGTTTTTATCAGTTGGCCCTAGACTTTTGAGTCTATGTAGGTAACTCCCGCACCATCAGCTCATGTTACTTGCCTGCAGTCCTTCCTGCACCTTTGCATCATGGGGGTGGTGATGGCGGTCGTAGGCGGCATCAGCAATGTTTGTGTGAGGCGATCGCCTTCTCTCCAAGTCAGTTCCGTAGGTGGTTGTGGATTGGTATTGCAAAAAGATGAGGATATTCATAACACTAAACTCATGATTTAATAGGTTTGGAATTCATTTAAAAAATTTTTTTAGGTATCTAGTTTTCAGATTCTTCAGCCTCTTTCATTTTAGCCTTTTAACATTCTACTAAATTCTGTTTTTAATCTGGTATATATAGATTAATGTAATACAGTGGTCTTCTGCATGGTCAACAGAACTCTGCAGGTGAATGAGGCGATTTCAAGGATTCCTTAGAAGAAAATGTAGTCATACTGAATAGTCTTCATCTGTATCTCTTTCATCACCAACACCTACGTCATTCCAAGGATTTTTTTCTGATGAGAAATACATTTCTTGGGGGTGAGGTAGGAGGTGGAAATATAGAACATAGATTTTTTTTTTTCCTCTCACAATACATTGGAAATACAGAATCTTCACTGGCATTCTGTAGAAAGGTTAAACAATGACTTCCTAATATCTGGAGCCTTATGAGCTCTCCAATATCCTATTCTGGAGGGAACTAGAATCCATGCTTAGTAGATTAAAGTAACACTTTAAATGCTATCTTTCAAAAGATGTGAAATAAAATACCAGTGAAGAACATATTTGGGTATCTTATCTGCTAAGCATTTCCCCCTGACCAGTGAGTTGGGAAAGAAAACCTAAAATACAAGTGAATAATTATGTCTCCTAATAGTCAGTGTCATTAATGCAAAAACTGTGGGCCCCACTTGGAGAGCCTCATTTCTAAATAGCAGAAACTCTTTCCCTTCAGCTCTAATTTCTGTTAGCTTCCCTTTCTCTGCACTGTGATACAGAGCCAATAAAGGACGGGTGGCATTTTGGAGAGAGAGCAAATTTGGTATGACTTTCTTTACCGGAAACTAGGTTCCCACATCTTGGGAATGTTTGACTACTTTGAGTGGCAGAGTTTTGGGGGATCTAAAGTTGAGTCTGAAAAACAGTGTTGTAAGAGAAAAGCTGTCTGTTAGTAAGCCCTGTTTGGGCAGCCCAGCTCTCCTTCCCTTTTCCCTCCTGCCTGCTGGCCTCCACAACCCCCCTCCCCCCCG